AATGCAACACACAATTTTTGCCTCGATTTACAGTCTAGACCAGTCGATGCTAGTTGCCGAAAGTTAGAACCAATCTGCTGATTTGAGTTGATGGATTTCACAGAACCTTTCCAAAAGTATTCCTTGGAAGTTTCCAAAAGTTCTGGAAAGGTTCTGAAAAACTTTGCAACCCGTGTAGCTAGGTTCATTCCCTAGTCGGTCATAGGGCTGGACATTGACACAAATTTCACTATTTGATTCGATTTCGATTCACAAGCTTGCGATTCGTATTCTATTCATTGATATGGATTTCGTTGAGTTGTATTGTATCTTTCAACATACCTTCTGATGTTCATTCTTTTTTTTATATAACTAGCAGTAAAGCGGAAGAGATGATCAGTTCACATGCACACCATGCTGCCAATTTTGACAGAATTTGAAAGCTGAGACAGTTTCATATCAGAAGTAAGAATAGCTTTTTGCGATTTATGGGAGGTGCGCAATAGTTTTCGTTTTTGTTGTTTTTTTCCATTCATCAAATTTTCTTACTGGGTCAATAACAGTAACTTTAAAAATGAACCTGGATCGGACATTATATTCTGCATCCCTAGAAAACAACATGGAATCCAACAAAAATGGATTCTTTGGGTTTAAGAATGAAAATCGAGAAATATATATTATTTTACCCAGCCTTAGTCATTCAGACAAACCACCGACTTGTTGATTTATGCACATGTCTAACTCAAAACATCTTAGCAACCACATACCAACTCCCTGGCAACCACCCACAACACCCTAGCATTATAGCAGCAATTTTTTTCAATGTAAAAGTAAAGTATACCCAAACATCTGGTTTTACGTTTTCAGTGGTGCCTTAGCATGTTCTTCTCGCCCTGCATTATGAGATAAACACAGAGCTTATGGTTAAATAAGGAAGTTTCCACAATGAGGTTCTAAATAAAACACCAACTTCCTGCATTCCATAAGTGACTGCAGGGCATGTGGTCTTTTGAAGGCTGTTCTCTGAATGGAAGATGAGTGAGGAGATTCTGGCCCCTCAAAAGCTCTCACAGAGACTTAGCTGAGAGGGTCATGCTAGGTCACATGTCTCAGGAACAAGAGGAGCTGTCTGTAGAAAAGTGTGAAAATCACAAACCTCCTCCGCCTTCCAGGCCTGTTGCTAGGCTACGGAGAGGAAGTGGTGCGTTGTGCTTTTTTTCCCTCCGCACTGGCACCCTGTGTCTACCGTTAAGCGGTACAAACATACACCAGTCTTGCAGTGACAAATAACTTCCTGATCCTGATTGTACAATAATAATAACGGTTCCGTTTTCACAGCTTATACAATATATATGACTGTCATTGGGGTTGTTTGGCTTCCCTTCCTTCCAGCAAACACCGTCTTAGTTCTCATGATTGGATTGTTGAGTGTAGCCAATGGCAGCCGTGATGATGAAACCTCACAGCAATGTCTTCCTGACAACATTTTGCGGATACAGTTACAATATATTGCTACCGCAAGCTCTCCGATAGCCATTTACAGTCATTTCAGATATAATAGGAACAGACCACAGTGTACATTTCAGCTGCCAGTCTAGATTAGAAGGGTTCTGTGACCACATAGTGTGCTTATGTTTTTGGCTTCTAAAAGCATTTGCATACATCACACTTAGGCTACAAACAAATAAAAATCATGAGCATGACAAAACTACTCTTTTTCAGTATTGTATACATATGGAAAAACCCAGATTACCTCTTGCAGATGTACACTACAGTAGAGTGCACTTCATGATGTATAGCACTTGACTTGATCATCATTTCCATTTTAACTTCTCTTTCTTTACTCATTACTTTTACTTTAATTTATTAAGATCGTACTTGAAAAGGTTTTAGCCCTGTCCACTAGAGGCATAACGAAACACTCCTGTCACAATTCGATACAAATCGCGATACTGAACCCCTGATTTGATGCCATTTTAAGATAAAATAGAGTGTTTTATTATTTATTTATTATTAAAATAATTTTATTATTATCAAGAATATTACCCGCAAATATAGTGGGTTGGTTGGTGTTTGCCCCCAGCCCCCTCTCCTCCATTGTGATTGGACGTCTGGATTAAAAAAGAGACTATCAGCCCCTCGTGACGCTGTTGCCGTGGCACTCCCATTGTAAACAAATGAATAAATACGCTAGCCAGTTTGGGAAAAACAAACACAAGGCTTTAGAGTTTTTATTATGTACATTTTAACATATATATGGCATATCTTTAATATATAATTTATTTAATATCTAATTATCTCATTTATTTAAAATTTTTATAATTTCTTTAATATCTTTTTATTTATATCTTTATATATATATATATATATATCTTTATTTATTTATTTTTTTTGGTCCGAGAACACAACTCTTGCCATGAGAATAGCATCAGCTGCTGACATGGCATTAAAATCTCAAATACCTACTTTACTACTCTTTATCAAAATAACCATATTTATTTTTAAAATGTAACATGCAATTAAATTAGGTCATGTAACAACAGTTTGAAGCGGTTTTCATTGCATACTGTTTAGCATATTGTTTCTAAAAATAGTGGACACTATACGGCATAAATGTTAATGCAGTATGTTAATATTCCATTCTGAACATACTTATATTTATCACTAATATTGCATGTTCAGCACTTTTGTACCTTGCTTTATTATGGCTCATGGCGGTTGAGGATGGTCTTATCTTACACTTCGGGGCTCCAGAACTTTTCAGTTAATCTCTGTCAGGATGCCAGAGGGTTTTTTCAGTTAGCAGTCGGCCAGCTCAAATCCGTCACACATGCACCCATTCAACATGTCCACACATCTGAATCACATATGCCTGCATCATTTATTACGATTAGTCGGTTGTATTATTGTGATGATTGGCTCGTGTTCTGTCAGAGATGTATTCAGATTAGCCAACGTTTTTGTCCAGTCAGCAAGTCTTTCCAGTCCAAAATCTTCACCACTTCCAAACCATATCTTTTTATTTCAACATAAGAAAGAAACTCGGAGGTTTGTAACAACTTTAGAGTCAGTAAAGGATGACCAAATTTTAATTTTTGAGTGAACTATCTCTTTAAAACGCATAGCATGCCAAGCACCACTGACCCCCTGGGGGTCGTATCTGTATGACCAAAAATGGAGTATTTTAAGTTGTTTCCATTCTTATCTGGAAAAATTGCAAGTGATTGCGCCGGTTCCTCATGTCATGCAGTAAGCGTGCTACACTTTGTCTTCCACTCTCTACTCAAACACTTGGATATGCGCCTAATAATAGTACACGTATATCTAGGTTAACGTTAGAGTGAGCAACCCTGTATTTTAAGTTGCTAGTACTTACATGTTTCAAATGATAAGCCATATTTGATTTGGATTTCCCTTCCGACATACTGTAATTACCACAAGGACCCGTCGTTAACTCGTAAAATAGTAAATGGACTGCATTTATATAGAGCTTTCACAGACCCAATGGCCACCAAACCGCTTTACATATTGCCTCACATTCACTCACTCATTCATACACCAAGATGTCTGTGTCTCATATGACCTTGTTATTTGTACACTCTGTGACTATACAAATCACAACATGTAAATAGGAAAATGTTTGCTTTATTTTGTCACTCATTAGGATTAGTATGCTAGCTGAAGCCATTTACATCCAGTCTTTGTGCTAAGCTAGGCTAGCGGTGGGTGCGTTAGATAGTTACAGCTCGCACAGAGATGAAAAGGGTATGTATGGACTTATCTAACTGTAGGGGATACATTGAATAAGCCAAAGTCCAAAAAAAGTCAGAGTGTTCCTTTAACTTAAAATCTCAGGGAATACTTCAAGTAAATGTTTAATGTCTAAGAAATTTGGCTGTCAAAATTTGGAAACCCCTGTTTTAGAGAGCAGGGTGGCTGATGTATAAGATCACACTTTTTAATGTATTATAAGTAACACATGCTGCAGTTCAATTTTGTGTAATATTTACTAAATGCTAAATGAATTTAAACTTGGAAAAAATAAACCTGTTAAAGAACAGATATACTAGACTACAAAGTCTCAATTCGGACACTTATCGGTCGATGCCAATTATTAAAAAATGTACAATTTCGGCCTTGGCGGTATATCCGTGGACTACTTTCGTAAATCTAGTTATTAGACACTCAAAATGGAATATTTGAATTTAGCCATGGGGTTTGTCTGGGTTTTTCCTTTCAGAAGTTGAAGTTGTTAATGAGCACTGATGAGACTTGTATGACGCTCTCTCTCCTCATGTCCTTCTTTCTGTTTCCCACCTTTTTTCGCTCCTTCCCTTCTTCTCTCGCTGAAACATCTCCTCTGCTCAGAATCAAAGCGGTGGGAGTGTGTTGGGTGAGGAGATGAAGTGTGCATAATTCATTCTGAAGAGCACACACTGGGTGATTCTGCCGTTCAGATGAACTCACTTCTGCTCAGATCTGCTGCTGTATCTCCTGCTATTGTCCCGAAACTCGGGACCTGCTGTGCGTGCAGATGATCTGTGTCTGTTTCCCTCATTCTGGTTATGAAATTGAGCTCAGGGGAAGTGAGGAACTTAACAGGTAAACAGGAGGGAATTGTGGGGAGACCCAGGCCAGTGATTTCCATTTCCACATTCCTTCAGTTCCTCCATAACAGCGCAACGGTCCAACTTGCATAACACTTTTGAAGGTTCGTCCAAACCAAACAGAGTTGTCATCTGGTGGCATTAAAACACACACATTCACAAACATGAAATGGTACAGCCAAGAGCCCGAGATCATTCACACAGGTTTTTGGGTCTGTTTCAATCATTTTAGGAAGTGAATTTTTTTTTTTTTTTCTCTGCCATTATGTAATGATGGTGCCTGCCAGAGAGGCTTACGTCAACCTATTCTTCTGCCACAGATAGATTTCATTTCCACACGTTCAATAATGCTGGCATGATGTTAGTATGATACTCGTAAATGATATTTCCTCTCTCCATTCTTTCTCTCTTCAGGGACGCCATGTCAAGACAGGCCAGCTCGCTGCTATCAAGGTCATGGATGTCACAGGGGTAAGAGCGCAAGCGGTGCAGGCCATGACAGTTTCTGTTTCGATGTCAGTTAGACTTTTACACTTTCACACTTGCCTTTGTGCATGATGTCATTCAAACACACACAAATATGAATGGGTCATTCATTTTAAGTGGCATTTGTACCTCTTCATGTTATTTGAAATGACAAAAACAAAGTATAATGTTATTATTATTATTATTATTATTATCATTATTATGTCTGTTATACTCACTAAGACTGCATTTATTTGCTAATATATATATAATATATATGTAATATTATCAGTGATATTGTGAAATATTATTATAATTTAATACAAAAAATTTATTTGAGTATATTTTAATATGTAATTTATTCCTGTGATGTCAAAGCTGAATTTTCAGCATCATTACTCCAGTCTTCAGTGTCACATGATCCTTCAGAAATCATCCTAATATGCTGATTTATTCCTCAAGAAATTTCTTTATTATTATCATTGTTGAAAACAGTTCTGGAAACCTTGATATATTATTCCTGGATTCTGTGATAAGTTCAAAAGAACAACATTTATTTGAAACCAACATCTTCTGTTAGACTACAGATGTCTTTATTGACACTGTTGATCAATTTAATGTATCCTTGCAGAATAAAAGTATTAATTTATTTTTGAAAAAAATCAGTGACGCAAAACTTTTGAACAGTGTGCATTAAAATAAGAATAAAAACTAAATTAACATATATTAAAATATTAACTTTTATATTTTATGCTATAACCCCTTACACTGATATTCTGAAGTTTTTTTATTTTAAAATACTATTAATATAATAATGTGTAATATACAAAGATAACATAATTAAGCCATTTGTAGGTTGATTCTGTCCAGCATCGTCAAACCATTGTTTTGTCTAAGAATTCCAACGAGCCGCCATAGCAACAGACTCAACCAATGGGATGACTTTGGGGCGGGGCTTTCTGTTTGAGGAAACCTGTTAGGAAACAATCATATTATCCACAATTTTGTTGTTGCTAGTGGCACAGAAATGACACTTCGCTATGAAAAATAATAGTAGTATAAATTATGTACTTTAACTGTTAATTATGCGGTAGTATATCACACTAGAACACAAATGGGGCTATTTCCTGACAATGACTCGCTCACAGACCAAGATGCATGATATTTTCCGGCTCTGTCTCAACTGTTGTCTGTTTTATTTGACAGGATGAGGAGGAGGAGATCAAAGCTGAGATCAACATGCTGAAAAAATATTCCCACCATCGTAACATCGCCACCTACTATGGTGCCTTCGTCAAGAAGAACCCACCTGGCATGGATGACCAGCTCTGGGTCAGTCTTCACCAGTAGTAGGCGAAAAAAATCAGGGTTATTTCGTGTGTGATTGTTTCATTGTTTTTGAAAGTAGTACAGTATACAGTGTTAGGGAGTAGATGGCTAAATGTTAACTACATTTTAATAATAATAAAAGAACAGAACTTTTCAGGAGTGTGCTAGTAGTTAAGCTGTTTTCAAAACAATGTAGATGTCATACTGTACAGAGCAGAGGTAATGTAGCATGACAATGCTACAATATATTGTTTTTAGTCATAGCACATGAAACTTTTCACTGTAGCATAACTTTTTAATCATTTGAGACCTAATTTCCATCTAATATTACAATAATTTAACAACAGTTTTTAAGGTTTGCATAACATACCAGAATGGAGCAGCTTTTGTTGTTTGTTTGTGCTGTTTTTACCTTTTGAGATGGGATAATATAGTGTAGACAGGAAGTGAAGTGGAAGATACCTACATGTCGAAGCAATGCCCACAAGGCTATCAACCTAACTAACAGAAAAACCTGAAATAAGGGAAATGAGCATTAAATACTTTGAGTATTTTGGAGCTTAAGAAGCTAAAGCCTCAAAACACCTTCCTCAACCCTGGGAAGGTTACACTTTCCAACAGTGACCGAACTCTCACTCAGATATGCAGTGTTCACACTCTGAACAGAGGTGCCGAGGCTTGTTGTTTTACCATTGATTGCAGACTACCAGCCTCATTTCCTTTGTGGTGAGCTTTGTCGCTCTTTTTGCCCAGCAACATAAAAATAAGTGCAACATTGAAGACATTTATTTGCACAAGAGCCTCTGTCAGCACAACCAGCCTTCATTGGGGGTCTTGGTGAGAAGGATTTCCCTTAGAGACAAAAACAGTGTTGCCAACTCAGCAGTCGTGACTTTGGAGAGTCCCAGAGGCCAAACATATTTAGACCCATCTGAAGGCTGGATCAAGAGAGCATTCAAAACCAATTGGTGTTTCAGAAATAACATCATATTCTGCTCATGAATTACATTTATTGACTTTTATTGTGCCCTAGGGGCCCCTAATGAGAACAGTGCTCGTTTTATGAATGTCCTGGGAGAAAATGTAAAGGCAAAGAAGTAAAAACACAACTGGGTTTAGAAGTTTGTATGTCACAGCCACTTACTAAAACTCTATATTAAGGTAGGGCTAAAGTGGGAAAAAAGAAACGGCTTGGCTTCAAGTTTTTTTTCTTTTTTATTGTCTTTTTCTCTGGACACAGTTGTGAAATTTCCCTTTTTTAACCAATAATACTATTTATTGTACCCTTCTATCTTGTCATTTAAACTAAAGTGGGAAAATGAAGTTGCTTTGGGACAGTTGTCACCTATAGACCTAGTTTCCGCTTAATCGCGTGAATTTATGAGTGTGAGTGTTGAACGTCTAAATAAAACACCGTTTCTGCCACTTGCTGTAGCTAAAACTTTTTTTTTTTAAAAGAGCTATGAAGTTCTATTTCTTTTCATTTCCTCAAATAACCTATGGTATTTGACACCCTTGCTTTGTCCAATTCAGAGAATATTGCCCAACAATTGTAAAGGCAGAGGAAAAGATAACGGCTGTATCCCACAATGACTTCAATTCAAAATCCAGAAAATTATGATTGCATATATATGCATACATATGCATGTATGTTTTTTATCCTAATTTTGTTGGGATGCTGTGTCTGTAGTTGGTTATGGAGTTTTGTGGCGCTGGTTCAGTGACAGACCTGATAAAGAACACCAAAGGGAACTCTCTTAAGGAGGAGTGGACTGCCTACATTTGCAGAGAGATCCTCAGGGTGAGTGTGTGTGTGTGTTTACATTTATTATCTTCCAGATGTGTTATTTCTGATGGGTCCCTCATTTGATCTTCTCCTGTAAAATTTAAACTCTTCATTTGGTTTTGATAGGGTCTGACCCACTTGCATCAGCATAAAGTCATCCATCGTGACATCAAAGGTCAAAACGTTTTGCTCACAGAAAATGCAGAAGTCAAACTAGGTGAGTTCACACTTTGACGGCTGTAACACAAAAACACAATGTACATTCTGCACTTATACTAAGCACTATGTATTCTGCCATCTAGTTTATAAATGTGAGAAGGTTATTGTGTCATTCAACATCGCAGTCTGATAGCCACCCCCCCTCTGCTACGAATAGAAAGCTGGGAAAATTGTAATAAGCTGGGAAAAGTGTAATAAGTGTCCAATATTCGTTAAATAAGTGGTCAGCTGGGTATTTTTAAATTGTACAGTGGAATTGCACTATTTATACAAAAAAATGCCTCCACACCTTATGTTGAGGCTTAACTAAGGAAAGGCAATAACTAGGGATATACCCATATGAAAATTGTGGTCGATAACCGATAATTCTTTATATTTGAATGCCGATACCGATATATTTGCGGATAAATCTAAATACAAATTTTTATATAATTTGAGAACCTGACAAAAATAAAATTTCCATTAAAAGGCATGTCCCAAGCACACAATTATAAGGTTCTCATAGCCTATATGACTTGCTCTGCACTTAACTGTATTTTCCTTTTTGAAGTGATTTTTATCATATTTCAAGCTATTTAAAAGCATCATGGCAAACAAGTATGCATCTGAAGTGTCTCAGCGGAGGGAAATAATTCATTATTTATCGGCTTTAATATATCGGCCAAATTTTCTTATCGGGCCGATAACGATAACATAAAAGTTTGCATAAACGGCCGATATCGTCATGGTGGCCGATATATTGTGCATCCCTTGTAGCAACAATCCTAACTAAACTATATTTTGGAAGTGTGTAAAATGCAGTAACAGGCTTTTTATCTTGCAATTTCTCACAATTGAGACAAAAGCATTAATCAAACATCATTCATTTTAATGAGAAACTTTATTCATCAAAAACTTGCGATTATAATTTGTTCAATAAGATTTTTGTTTTTGAAAGAAATCTCTTATGCTCACCAAGGCTGCATTTATTTGATAAAAAAAAAAAGTAGAAACTTCAGGGATGTGAAAAATTATTACAATTTAAAAGAACTGTATTCTATTGTAATATACAGTATTTTATTCCCTTTTATGGCAAAGCTGAATTTTCAGCATCATTACTCCTGTCTTCACTGTCACATGATCCTTCAGAAATCATTCTAAAGCTGATTTCAATTATACTGAACATCTCATAGTTCAGTATAATTGAAATTATATGTATTTTTTAGTAACAATGTAAAAGCCTTTGTACCTTTTGATCAATTTAATGCATCCTTGCTGAATAAATGTCTTACTGACCCCAAACCTTTGAACGGTAGTATATTTTCAGTTTGTCGCATCATTTAAGCTCCTTGTAGTTTTTTTTTTAAATTAAAACTTATAATTTAACAGTCAAGATATGAAGAGTTCAGATGCAAAAGCCTCTAAATGCCATTTGAAATTTTCTTCTTTAATGATGATTTTTATCAAGCTTGTATATTTAAGTTCAGTGATTTCACTTAAATGGCAATGATAATTACTATTAATTGTTATTTAAGTAAAATTACTGAACTTAAATATACAAGTTTGATAAAAATCATCATTAAAGAAGAAAATTTCAAATGGCTTTTAGAGGCTTTTGCATCTGAACTCTTCATATTACCCCTTTAACTGACTTCAGTGTAGATATGTTGCATCTAGCTACTTTTTCAATAAGCACTTCGTTATGAGAAGCTCGTAACTCCCTCAATGTTAGTTTGTGTATGCGTGTTTTTGTGTTGAGGAACCTGTGACCCTCTTCTGGAGTTATTAGGGCTTGTCATTGAGTTGTTTGAGTTTGCGAGACAGTTCAGGCTGGTTGCTATGACAACGCTGCCTGCGGTGAGGAGGGAAGAGTAGCACAGAGGCAGATGGCAGAATGCACTTCATCAAAGACCTCTCCGCTCGTTACTGCACGCAGACACATTAAGGCCAAATCTTCCCGGTGTGTTTGTGTTTGTGTGTGTGTGATTGCGTGTTTTACAGTTGATTTTGGTGTGAGTGCGCAGTTGGACCGTACCGTCGGTAGGAGGAACACTTTTATTGGCACACCATATTGGATGGCTCCAGAGGTCATAGCCTGTGATGAGAATCCCGACGCCACATATGACTTCAAGGTATTTCAAGCGATTCTTAATTAGGCTGTCACTTTCTTCTCACAGAACCTGATTGCTTTAGTGTGAGGGTCTTGTTTGGTTTAAGGCTCAAATCCTAAAACACCTTTTTGTTACAGAGCGATCTCTGGTCGTTGGGAATTACGGCTATTGAAATGGCAGAAGGAGCCCCTCGTAAGTCTAACACAATGCAATATGACGTTAAAGTACACAAAAGTTTTGGGGTCTCCTACACAATAGGTTTACATGCACCCAAGGTCAAAAAATGAATTACTTTTTTTCTCACAGTGTCTGAAACTGTTCAATTAAAGATTCAGTCTCACAGAGAGCCTGTTCTGCTCTGATTGGTCAGATGGCCCAGTCTGTTGTGATTGGTCTACGTGACGGAAATAAAACGGCCATTACCATATCTGAATCTTCAACACTTGTATACACAGTGATACGAACCGTAACGATGGTTTTACAGTATCAAACTCCAGTTTCCAATAGACGTTCGCAACCAAAGAAGACCATTGATGGGCATTATGCAAATTTGTTACAAACCTACATACTGTAGGTTCAAGTAGGAAGTAAGGAATTGCTAACGACTTGTTTTAGGAATCGGTTCTTTCTTTTGGGAGATGATAACTCCATTTAGTTCTCACATTGACTTTTGAAACTTGGCAGAACTTTTACATTCACGAATAGCTATATTACACACTACATGAAGGAAAGGTAATATCTGGTAAAGTATAATAGGGGCACTTTAAACACATGATGCGTGTATTTTCTATGAAATTTAATATGAACACATTGATTGCTAAATGCACACACCTGTCTTGTTTCCTCAGCGTTGTGCGATATGCATCCCATGCGTGCACTTTTCCTCATACCCAGAAACCCAGCTCCCCGACTCAAGTCCAAGAAGTGGTGAGTCAGGCATGCCTGAACCCCACGTCATTTGAATATACACTCAAATCTACAACTGGTGATAATAAAAAGCCCTGAGCGTCAAAACGGAGGAAACTGAACTCTGTCATTCTCTGTAGGTCTAAAAAGTTCCAGTCATTCATTGAAAGCTGTTTAGTGAAGAATCACAATCAGAGACCAAGCACTGAACAGCTCATGAAACATCCCTTCATCAAAGACCTTCCCAACGAGAGACAGGTCCGAATTCAGCTCAAAGACCACATTGACCGGACCAAAAAGAAGAGGGGAGAGAGGGGTGAGTTTTCTTTGTTTCTGTTTGGGCTAGGTTGAATAATACAGATTGAATTGATTTTAATCAATCTTCATTTTTATGAAACGATATTGATTCTTAAATCTCAATCTTTTACATTAATGGGACCGTTATTTGTAGCACAACACCCGACCAATAATTGCAGCTTTGTTGCTTTCGAGATGATTTGAAGAGTTTCAGCTTTTAATTCTGTCTATTTGATCATGAATTTCAAACAATACGTCTCATTTTGGAGTTCTTTAATGTGGCGTGGCGGATTGCTGTAGCGCCTCAGGCATGTGAATCATCTCTTCCTCTATATTAGTTATAGCAAGAAATAAACATGAGTGAACATCAGAAGGTATGTCGAAAGATACAGAGCAACTTGCTGAAATGTGTCATCGCTCATGTAATTAGTCAGTCAAGAGTTTCAACTGTGGAAAAGACGTCATTAAAACAGCTTTAATGTCCATAGCTAGATAAGGAGCATTTTGCTAAATATATGCACTGTTACATGTTCTTTATATTTCTTATCTGTAAATGATGTATGTTTGAATAAATATGTCAGGAAATTTCAGCGTTTAAATGTTTATTTCCAAAAATAATAATTATGTTTCTACTCAAATTTCTTGAAAAAGTTTACATAAAACTGCCTTTGCAATTTTCTAATTTATATTTTATTATTGTTTATAATTTAAAATACATTTTATTTATTTTTCTTATTATTATTAGTGAAAGTGACCACTATTAAACAACTTTGTCAACTTTTTTTTTGTTTTTTATTTGCTCATTTTAAGATTCCTTGTTTGCATCTTAAATGTTGTATTTCTAAAAACCTTCTTTTTTTTCTTACAGATGAGACAGAATACGAGTACAGTGGAAGTGAAGAGGAGGAGGAAGAGCGAGACATAGGAGAGCCAAGGTACATAGACCTTTTACGCTCACCCATACACACACACACACACACACACAAAGTGTGTATATGTGGGAATAGTGAAGATGTGATTTACTTAACGTCTTGATTATTTAATGTCTTCCTTACAGCTCCATCATAAACATCCCTGGTGAGTCGACCCTGAGGCGGGACTTCCTGCGTCTGCAGTTGGCCAATAAGGAGCGCTCCGAAGCCCTGAGAAGACAACAGCTAGAACAGCAGCAGAACGAAGAACACAAGCGCCAACTACTGGCCGAGAGACAGAAGCGCATTGAGGAACAAAAGGAGCAGCGAAGGAGACTAGAGGAGGTGGGACGAGAAATACAGTTTAATTACTGTATTAAAATCTTCAGCATTAGTCATATTAGATTTATTTTATTCTCTTCCAAAACCTTAACTAGTGGTACTCAACTGGTTTTGCTGTAGGCCCAAGTTATGACCCAACATAAAAGTAAAGTTGTTTATCAAAAAAGGTTTGTAAATGCAGCAAAATGTATTAATAATATCATAAGCAATATGCTAAATATTAACAAGGATCAAACATGTTGTTAGTATTCACCATATTTACAGGTGACATATGAACCATAACAAAATACTGTACATGGGAAGCTTTTACTTCTGCTATCCACCATGATTATATGCTAAGTTGCGTTTTATTATTTGCGTTTAGCATTGTTGTTCCTTGCAACCATATCAGAACAAACAGACAATATGATGTGTTATCGTTTCTGTCGCATTAAGACAAACACTTCCTGTACTCTATTTTGTGTGTATGTGTAATGGCTCATGAGATTACTTTTTAATGTCCCTGGGAGACACTGAGCTATGATCAGTCCACAGGAAGGTTACCCAAACATATTGAAAATTCTTCAAATGGAAGACAAAGAAAGACAAAGCTCATTGAGCCAGTAGAGATATTTCCGAGTTATGTGATGTAGGGTTTTCTCAGTAGGGGAGCGAGCAGAGAACCTGTAGGGATGAATCAGGTGGCTCGGCTGGGCGTCAACCTCTCAAACCTCTGTCAGCAGCCCCTGCTGGGGAAAGACCATTCAGCATGGCTGCCTGCTCCGAATGCATTTTATTTTACACCGCCACCTAGTGGTAAAAGGACCTCCGTATGCTAGTGTGAATCAGGGCCAACAATTGGACTCAGCACTTAGATTTTATATAAATGAATGAGAGGTTAATTAATGAGGGCTTGTTTTTATAATCTCACAGCAACAGCGACGGGAGAGAGAGCTCCGAAAACAGCAGGAGAGAGAGCAGAGGAGGCGCTATGAAGAAATGGAGCAGCTCCGCAGAGATGAGGAGAGGAGACACGCTGAGAGAGAGCAGGTACATAATCATGTATTGTGCTTATTGTGGTTGACCAATATTTTTTGACTGCTTTTATTAATAGTAAAGCTGAAAGAGGACAGGAAATTAGTATTTGCAAGAATTATTTCAGGACTGAAAATATACAATTGTTCAGGCTGTTGTGAAAAGAGATAGGGCCACAAAACCAAGAACTGACAACTGCACGCATATGAACAGGAAGAGAAGAAATGAGGTGATGTGTCGGCTTCACACACTCACACTCCATATGCTAACAAACTCCCAATGATTTGCCACTACTGAGATGAAGACAAGATGTACTTTGTTAACAAATGGCACATTTATATGACACATGCCAATTAGTATTAAAGTGACCAGCTGATAATTTGTTTTCTTTTATTTAATGCTTTTTTTCAACATGAAACATTGTAAAATAAGGCTTCTCACCTGTTTTTGCTCAAGCCCCAGATTTGAATTAAACCAGGTTAAAAATGAAGTTGTTATACCCAACACAGAACCAAAGTTGTTTATTAGAAAATGTCTTTAAAAATATAAAAATTGATTAATATGATCTCAACTCAACTTTTTATTTATAAAGCACTTTCTAAACCATTAAAGTCGACCAAAGTGCTGTCCACAAGTAATAAATATATCTAAAATACACAGAAAGATAAAATCGCATCAAGATGTGACACCCAGAAAATCAAGCCTCAAAACACTCACAATTCTCAGACCTAATCAAACGCCAAAAGCTTGATGAAATAAATAAGTCTTCTGATCTGTCTCTCCATGTAAACACATACACACACATTACTGACAGCATATGTAATTCATGCAAACGTGCACTTTCTCAACTGTAACCATCCACTCAGATATGCATTTCAGACTCTCACATGCCTAAATCCTGGATTTAAACTAAAGCATTCTCTCCAGTCTGTGACTCACTTCCTTCTGGGAGGGAAATGTTCTGCTGGATGGTAGGCATATTTTAAGCACTCACCCACCCTTTCAAATGCAATCGGGCCACTTGAGCCCTGTTCAGTAGTGAATGAGAATGTCTCAAGGGTTGTGTGTGAGTATGTGTAGAGACAAATAAGAATGACTGAACTATTAATAACAGTGAAGATTCATCATCTCTCACTTGTGGCAAAAATTATTAATGACAGTTAAGATTCACCATCTCTCACTCATGCCAAAAGTTTAGCGGCTTAAGAGATTAGCAATTCTGAAACACAATTTTAATTGGACACGCCCCTTTCCATAAAACTCAAAGCTGTTAATGAAGCTGATCTCACTGTAGGCTTGTGAATTGTTAGCATATGGACTGCCTTGTGAATTTGCAAAATGGTAAAACTTGCGCACACAAAAAAAACAATGTTTGTAAGCCTGAGAGCCTCAGAGACAGTTATTTTTGTATACTTCAGTAACATCTGTGAAGAAATAGATAGTTTCTTTTGTGTCTTTCCATAAAAAATGCTTCCAGTGTCTTTTAAGGCAACAAAGCAGAACATTTTCTTTGCTGTCATAAAGCATTTCATCGTTTCGTTGCTAATAACAGTGAAAGTGTCCTCCTCAGTTTAGGCATATTGTGATCCATATTTTTAATCTTTTAATAAAGAATAAGCCATTCTTTCAAAAATGCCTTGCAAAATGGGCCTTTCTCTTAACACATTTTTCTCGCCATTTACCTTTAAAGTCTTTCTGCTGGGTTTTTCTGTCCAAGTACACTGCCATAAACCTGTTTTGCTCTATAATAGGCCTACTGTAATTTAATATGTACACTACTGTTCAAAAGTTTTGGGTCTGTAGAGTTTTTTTTAATGTTTTTGAAACCTCTAATTCTCACCAAAGCTGCATTTATTGATAAAAAATACAGTAAAAAGAGTATTATTGTGAAATAATATTTCTATTTTAAAATATATTTAAAAGCCATTTATTCTATGATCCTTTAGAAACATTTCTTGTTTAACCGTTTTGGCTGTTTAATATTTTTGTGGAAACTGAGAGACATTTCTTTCAGGATACTTAGATGAATCGAAAGTTCAAAAGAACATAATTTATTTGAAATTGAAATCTTTGTAGCATTATAAAAGTCTTATTCTGTAACTTTTGATCAATTTAATGCAGCCTTGCTGATTAAAGTCATTAACTTCCTGTAAATGGATGTTACCACTATACAGACCTATCACTTGCTGTAACATATAAATCTAAATCTAAAAATGATTGTAACGTGCTATTATTAGAAGTGATATTCCCAATGACATCCCATTATGAGCCCACTGTCTAGAAGACCGCTCACAGATACAAGCACACTTTAGGATTGAATTGGTTTTCTCTTTGTGTGTGTGTGTCATTTAAACAGAAGTAGGTTTAATCCAAAGCAACGTTTTCTTTGGTGCAACATACCCCTGGAGCTGTCTGGGGTTAATTGCCCTGCTCCGGGAAATTGGGATCAGGGTACGAAGTAACTCTCTAGTGCATGGATGGCTCATTCCATGGTTTGAATCAATGACCTCTAGGTAGTGAGCTCATCACACACAAGGTCACATGGGATCTATGCAGGGCAGCGAGCTATTATCAGGGTTTCTTACCTTCTGATTTGCTTGATTAATCTTTCATTGTTTCACTTAAACTTAAACTCTTTGAAGGCCCTGTCATCTCTTTTTCATCTTTCTTTCTCGCTCTCGTTCTGACGTGCTGCGCTATGGGGTTAGGAATATATCCGTCGGCAGTTAGAAGAAGAGCAAAGGCAGCTGGAGATTCTTCAACAGCAGCTTCTCCAAGAACAAGCTCTTCTGCTGGTAAACATTTCCACTATCACCTTTAAAGTACTTGCACTTCCTTTCTTTTCATCTCCTGCATCTGTCGGTCCCTAGTGCACTCAGAGAGAGTATCGATTGTGCGAATTGATCTGGGGCATTTGGGGTTTGTGGCAGCTCTGTTTGTTTTCGCTCAGTTCTTTCGGAAATGAGAGGATCCACGGCTACCGGGGCATCGGTGGGATTAGCTTATAGATTTGTTGAGATCTTCCTAACATCTGATAGCCTTCAGCTATTTTTAGGGAGTACAAAAATCTGACCCTGTGTTAGGATTATTTGGAGCATCTGCTCCATATGTCCCTCAAATCTTGCTCTCTTCACCTCATTCTGTCTCGTTTTCTGTTGTGTCTAGGAATATAAACGGAAGCAGCTGGAGGAGCAGCGTCAGGCCGAACGGTTGCAGCGGCAGCTTCAGCAGGAGAGGGCTTACCTGGTCTCACTGCAGCAACAGCAACAAGAGCCACGGCCCGCGGACAAAAAACAACTGTACCACTACAAAGACTCTGTCAACCCGAGTGACAAACCGGCCTGGGCCAAAGAGGTACAAAAACATCTGGTTAGGACCCTTATTTGATTACTACTATCTAGGGTTGTCTGAGAATATCCATTTTCTGTTTAATCCAATATTGAATCCTGAAATGTACGTTTGCAATTAAAAGAAAGTATACCATTGTAACAATGGCAAGAAATGTTTTTTAGTCTTCATTGACGGCATGCGATTCACAATCAAATGACTCTTATGATCCAGTTAGTGAATTAAAAAACCTACACCACATTGGTGTAGCCTGATTCACGAAACCAATTATTTTTGGTGAGATGGTCCTGTTTACTGAATAAAAGAACATCAATGACTCGCTGAATTATTTATTTTAATGAATAGATTGGGGAGTTACTGGTTTCAATCTGAAATACTGCCCTGCATAATTTATAGCATTAACAGAGAGACGATCTCTTTTGTATGCAAGCGAAATTGAAATATAGCCAAATGAATCAGAATCTAACACAATTTAGAATGAATCGAGAGCTTATTAATCCGAAACAAACTGAATCAGGACTCTGAATCGATACCTAGCCCTGTTGCTCTTTATCAATATTACATACGCATTGATTGTAGACATCATCTGTCATTTGTTCTTACATTTGTGATTAACTTTTCCATTGGTTTTCAGAATCCACTGGATGCTTTTTGGTTTATCGTGCTCTGAAGCAGCCCTCCTTGCATCCTCAGTTTTGTGGGCCATTATCTGAACGGTTTTATTGTGCTTATCTGAACACAGGTGATGGAGAGAGCTCAGAGTAACTCCCCTCGAATCCCTCCCAAGAAGCACCATTCGTTTAACAGTCCTGGAGAAAAACGTGTCCCTGCTGACCACAACCCCTCTAATCAGCCCACGAGACCCCCTTCCTACCCAGCGGCCTCCCACTCAAGAGAGATGGAGCTGGCCGAGCCTCAGCCTAGGATAGTCAGTGGTCCGAACGTTCCTAGAATCCGTGTGTCTTGCGAGCCAGATCCGTCCCAGCTGCTCAGGATGGTCCAGCAGGAGCAAGAGCTCTGGGCCCGCAATCCCGGTCGCTCCAGCAAAGGGCCTGATATTGAGAGAGACTTATACGTCTCAAAGGTCTGCCTCCGCTAGCATGACTCCTTTTTTCGCCATGACCTAGACGCTCACCGATCTGGTCATGGTGTATTAATTAATGTGGGAAAAATATTTTTTTTCCCAAATTTCTATCGGGGCATATGGATGATCACTTCTGGAATGCCTTTGTCTCTTTTCCTCTTGTTCTCCGGGTGAACGTGTTCACTTCTCCCAGTTAGTTTGGTGGATTTTCTTCAGGCAGCTTCTGCTCTCGCTGTCGTCTTGTTCTAATTTCCTGTAATCTTCTCTTTGAATCTCACCTATCGCTCCTTTTCTTCTTACAGAAAGCTGATTACAGAGGAGCAGGGGTTTGTGGGGCGAAGATGAGAGAGGTTTGGATGTGTTGGGCAACGAGTAGCTTTAGACCAGTGGTTCTCAACCTATTTGACTCCAAATACTTCCATTAAAAAGGCCCCCCCCAAATATTACTGATACTTCTGCCATAATGGCAGATCTGCTCATTTCAGAAACTGAGTGTCAGTATATTTCCATAATTAAATGAAATAATTATAAGTTATTAAATTATATAATCCCAGCAGTAACCTAATGTTCTTAATGTGTAAAATGTTCCCCTTTGGAAGAGGCCCCCTATTGAGTTCTGCCCCCCCTGGTTGAGAACCCGTGCTTTAGGCATTGTTACAATTACAAAGGATTGTTGATAAGGGGTGGTGTGTTACTTGTAGACAGATTGTGCTCTGAAGACAGTCTCTGAGTCATTCCAGATCCAAACCTCCCTTCATTCTCAGAGAAGAAATGAACATGGTTTTCTCACTAATATAGCTTTTTCTGTCTCATTGGACACTTGACGTCTAGATTGGCCATAAGCGATTCTTTTCATGTCTGGAAATGCTTGTGAATGGTGCATGACAGTTTTGAGACTTGTTGTTTGAATTCGAGTCAGCTAGAAACAGCTACTTTTCAGCATCTCCTTTAATATACTGGATATAATGGACTAAACGTTTCCTTTCTGTCTTTAACTTTGATATTTCTTTTCTGTCATTTTAGTTGTGCATTTCTTCTTTGCTTAGGGAGTCATTTCGATTGGGTTTGTGGAAGTGAATAAAAGATTATCTACAGTTAAGCCCAGGGAACAGGTCTAAAAATATCTAAAATGTCTTGTAGCGAGGCCGTCTCTTGAATTTAGGACAGGTGGGTTTTGACAAAGATTGAAACAATCTTGTGTGATTATGTGAATGGGAAGGATGATTAAGATTGCCAGAGAGAAGTCACTGTTCAACCTTCTTAAATTGCTACTGGTCTCATCACCACGTTAGTAGCTTTTCTTATTATATAAACTAATTTGTGTTAGCCAAGTCAAGTCAAATATATTTATATAGCGCTTTTCACAATACAGATTGTATCAAAGCTGTGTTGATTTTTAAATGTTAATGTAAATGCAAAAATTGGTTCAAATAGTTTTAATTTTTCGGGTTCAGAAGTAGATTCAATAATTCCGTGTCAACAGTTCACAATCGAATTTTTTATTTAGAAAATATTAGCTATTTATATTGTTGGTCATACATTTAATGAATTCAGTTCCTTTTGGTCATATATTTAAAAATTGTTCAATAGTTTGGGAATAAAAAAATAAATTAATTAATACTTTTATTCAGCAAGAATACGTTAGATTGATCAAAAGACATACAGGATGTATGACTGGAGTAATGATTCTAAAACCTCAAGAATAAATTACACTTTATTTTATTTCAAGTATAGTGAAATAAAAAAGTTATTTAAAATTGTAATATTATTTCACAATATAATAAATAATACAGCAGTTATAGTAAATAATAGGAAATTTTACTGTTTTTTTTTTTTTTAATTAAATAAATGTAGCCTAGTGTAGATCCTACGGTGTCTTATATGTACTTCGTAGTTTCACAGTCCATTCTGACTCCCAAGCAAAGAGGAAACCGATTGGTTGTGAAGAGTTGCGTGGACATTAACATCGTCTCTGTCTGTCAGGTTGAGGAACGATCCAAGCTGAACCGCCAGAGCTCTCCTGCTCTCCAGCACAAAGTGGCCAACCGTATTTCTGATCCCTCCCTGCCTCCCCGCTCAGAGTCCTTCAGCAGTGGAGGCATACAGCAGGCCCGGACGCCTCCCATGCATCGCCCGGTAGAGCCTCAGGTACTTCTTGACCTCCTGACCCTTCTTAACAGATTTCAGATGTGTTGTGAAAAACACTGACCTCAAAGTTCTCAATTAAGATGGCGCACCTAGTTTCGGTGAAGTCCCATGGCTCCTCCATGACAGGATCCCAGTCTCTGCATGATCAGTCCTCTCAGGGCGTCTCAGCCTTCCAAGAGAACCTGTCGCCTCACCGACCCCCAATGCCTCGCCAGAACTCTGACCCCACGTCAGAAACCCCGGCCCCACCACCCCGCATCACCAGCCGAGATGACAAGTTTGACCGCAGCTCTTGGCTGAGGCAGGAAGATGATGTCCCGCCTAAGGTGAAAATTTGGGATGAAATGTGTTGACTCTGAAGCAGTGGTTCTGAAATGGTGGATCACAGGTCTTTTCTGATTGGGTGAAGCGAAAAACCTTGCTGAATATGATTCATAATAAAATGTAACGGACCATATAATCGAGCATAGTTAGGACTTAAGAAAGGAAGGAAACACCTTTTACATATTTTGTCGAAGGCTGTGCACCCATTCAAACTGTAAAATATTTTGGCACAAATATTGTAAAAACATTAAATATGGGTTCACTTTATAACAAAAGTAAACATGGTTCGAGCTATTTTTATTATTTTGTCATTCATCCTTTCTCATTTAAATAATAATTTGCACTATGTGTGCAGTTCATGGCAAGGACATTTTTTACGGACATTTTTAATAAACTATTGTACAAATAACCTGATCTGTTTAGTACTGTGTTGGATTGTCACTTGATGTCTGTGTTAGTTAAAGTTCGTTTAAAATTTTTAACGGTTACACTGTCATATTTTTAGTTCATATTTAAAAACAAAACACAGCTGGAGAACTTGACATGGCTGAATCAATAACAAGGACATCAGGGCACTGTTATGTACTTGAAATATATCAGGGTGGGCTGCATATTGGTACAATCTTTTAAGATAAACACAAAAAGTAATAAAATAGTGCGTTTTTCTCAGTATTTATACTTAGCATTACATATACTTTCTGAAAACGGTTTATCAATGTGAAATCTAGTTCCTGAACCAAAACCAGTTGAGATCCACTGCTAATTGAATGTGATATAGGGTAAAAAAAAAAAATCAAAGACTACATTTGTAAAAAGCTGTTTTTCTAAAATGCATCTTAGTAAAGTTAACATCTGTTACCATGCTTCAGGTACCCCAAAGGACCACTTCCATATCCCCTGCGCTGGTGAGAAAAAATTCTCCTGGGAATGGACCAGGTGGACTGGGACCAAGAACCGGAGCACATCTGATCCGAGCCAGGTATATACTGTACATCCCACACACTTTTCAATAACTTATATACATATATAATATGTATTTGTATTAACTTATCTTAACATCTTAACCCCTTTAACTGTAACTGCTAGTAGTAAGTTAATCAGTCTTCTACGATTGAAATTCAAAAATCAAACTCCACATCTTCCTTGTGTCCTACCATTGCTGCAGTAACCCAGACCTGCGTATTACCATGGACCCGGCTCACCAGAGAACCAGTAGTGGGAGTTCTTCCAGCTCTAGCACGCCCAGCTCTCAGGGCGGCTCCAGTGAGAGGAACCGGGTGGGAGGTGAGAGACCCTCTGGAATATTCTCTCAGCACTGCCTCTCCACACCAATCCTTGACGTTCAATTGTCTCCACAGGCTCCAGTAAACCTGAGGGATCCCCATCAGTGTCCCAAGAATCCAAACCCAAAAACCAGGAGGAGAACAGGGAGGTGACCAGACCCAGCCGACCAGCGGTGAGAAACACAGTTCCCGAAATATCATAAAAGTGTAACTGTGCTTTAAATGTTTCTGCTCAGACAGGGCTGGTTTCCAAGAACAGGATAAGCCTAAAATGAAACTTCACTAACTTCTTTTTAAGACTTCTTGAACTAAAAATCTGCACTGTTTTCCCAATAACTCATGATGTTCTTTCCAAATTGATTTACCTTCCATTAAAGACTCCATTAAATCAAAATTGTTGTAATTGTAAGCTCTTCAATATGCCCCACCCAAGCTTTCTGTTTCAAGATTGCAGAAATTAAAACATAACAAGCTGTTTTATGGGGTCTTTAATATATCACCAGTCAATCAAATCTCATTTGAGCTAACCTACTCATAACCTTTAGCTATATTATGATGTTCACTTTTGACTCAGAGTTAAAATAAAAACTGTGTGCCACTTTGTGTTACTAACCATTTTCTCATTTAACATTTTGTCTAATCCGTTCAATTGTTCCTCCACCCGTGGTTCTCTATTGTCAATTGCTTTTCTTCAGAGTTATAAGAAAGCCGTAGATGAGGTTAGTGACATCTTCTCACTTCATCTCTCTCTGTCCGTTTTCGTGCTTCTTGAATTCAAGCACTCATCTATTTCTGTCACTCGCCCTCTAAAGTCTTCAATCGTTCTCTCATCAATATTTCACACCTTCTCTCATTCCTTAACTCCCCTTCAATCTTTATTTCTGTCGGTCTCCTTCACATCTTAAGACGCCGTGTCAGTCACCATCATTAGCTGCACTTTTCTCCATCGCACCAATTTGTCACAGTCGTTCACAGTGTCTGTAATCCTTGACACCATCTCAGAGTTTTCACTGTTACCTAGACGACAGCTGTTTTAGGCCAAGGAAAAAGGACTTTGTTTAGATGTAATGTTGCATACTTTGTTAAAAAAGAAAAGAACCCTGCAATTATTTCTCTTATTGAAGTGATTTATTTGTGTAGTTGTTTAAGAATATTAACTTTAATCAGTAGTCCTTCCATTAAATTATTTGTGAAACGAAAACAAGGCAGTGAGGGATGAAAGTACAGAGCATTCAATGGTTTTTAAAGCAAATTGTTTTTGTGGAAATTGTAATTATCATTCATGCATATTGACATCTAGCAGATGTCACCATGAAACTTTCCCAGTTGACTAATCTACAATAACTAAAATAATTTAATGTTTTAATATGCAAATGAGGCATTATCTAATTAAATATGCACTAATTTTCATATATTTTTAAAAACGAAATCTGAGTATTGCACAAAGCCTGTTTCAAAATTCTTTTTTTCATTGTGTTCACATATTAGATAAGGAAAAAAAATTACAGAGGGATTTATGGATATCTACTTTTGTTGTCCTGTAAATCAGAATATACTGCCAATTGCCTTAAATTATTTTTGCCATGTTTTTTTGGAATAAAATGTTATATAAATCAGGCTAGGAATAATATATCTACAAATCCCTCTGTAAATGTCTTCATAATATAACTAAATACAAGATTGGACATTTTGGTGTATATAGGTGCTATTGAAGTGGAGATTTCGGACTTGGAGTATGAGAGAAAAGTCATTTTGAGAAAACTGCTTTAGAGATTTCGCATCAGCCAATGAGATTGCGCATTTAGAGTTTTTACTTTCACGATTGGTTGCTGATAAAAAGGAAATAACCATATGTGGATCTGACAGCGTTGTACAGGAGAAAGAGAGCTTTCTAACTGTGAGATGAAAGGGTGCAGATCGCGATCGCTGAGCAGCAACTTTTGAAGAATTTATGAGAAATCTACCGACGCAAAAAGACGAACTGTAGTTAAATAAAGACCTAAATGTGTATTTCGAACTTTTTTTCATCACAAGTCTGAAAGAAGACAAATTGTTATTGAAGACAAATATCCCAAAATCTCATAATTGACCAGTGAAAAAAAAAAAAAAAACGATGTTTTTGTCTGCCGTGTCTCGCCCTAATGCAAACGGGCGAGCAAAAAAAATTTGTAGAAACCATACTTGCGTAAATTGTCACATTCAAGTGGTAAATTCTTTTTTTTTTCGCCAACAAAACACTAGTGCCACTTCATAAACATTGGGGTTAAACGACTTGGGTCACATGGATTAATTTAATGATGTCTTTACTGCCTTTCTGGGGCTTGAAAGTGGTAGTTGCGTAGCTGTCAATGGAGAAACAGAAATCTCTCAGATTTCATCAAAAAATCTTCAGTTGTGCAAGCAAAAATTTTCTTTAAAAATCATGCACAATACTATCATTACATAAGTTGGTCCAACAAAATAAATGCGAAAATCTGTGTAAATCGTGTTGTGCAATATCACTGCGAACGAACAAGCTAGTCAGAAGTTGTTTAAATGGTTCGTAAAAAGTGTTCTTAAACATATCGTTGCTTTAATTTCAGCGCGAGCACACAAGCAGAATTCACTTCTTTAAATTGTTGGTAAAACTATTCAATCCATCTGAGCCGATATTTAGGAGTTTCTGTGTAATCCGTCCATAAACCCATTTTTGCATTTATTGTCACATTCTGTTCAATCCATCAATTTATATAAGGATGATTTAATGAACAGTTTGCGCAGAAATTGGTTCAGCTCATGTTTCATGAATCAGATACAATATCATTTTATTCATAGATAATGTAAAAAAAAAGTTGCATACAATGTTTCCAGGGTTTTGTGACCACTGGATAGACATTATTTTTTTAACCAGCTGCTCAGTTTGACACATTGAATGTACTGTACCTCTATTCCTCAACCTTTTTTTTCATTTGTGTCAAATAAAAAAATGACGTATTTAAACGTAATCTTGCATTTTGCTCAAGATCGTTTACAGTATCACACTCCAGGTGTTAGGTTGCACATTCAGTCAAAACTGGAATTAGTATCTCTTTCAAGCATCATTGTTTAAATATAAGAGCACAAGAGTTGACTTGTGGTTTCTCAATGCCGTTTTCTCTCTGTCTGGCTGCCTGGTGGCCCGTCAACAGGAGGAGCTGGTAAGACGGGCACAGAGCTGGAGCTGCTGACTCTTATTAACCTTTTGCATGCAGGGCACAGGCCTCAGGAACAACCCCTAGTTCTGCTTCAGTTCTTCAATCTCCTTGTCTATTATTTCTCTGACTTGTGCACGTGATGGTTTACACAGTTGTGCATCATTCTCCGAAATGATGGCGGATGTTTTTATCTCACCTTCAGAGTTGATTTGTAAAGCTTTATGAAATGTTTTACTATGTTTTTCCTATCTGTAATGGTTTGCTTATTTCTTTGTTTCTGCTAATCTCTTCGGTGCCATTTACATGACCTAAATGTGCAAAACGAAGTTTATAGTCATGACTTACTACTAACGGATTAATTTTTATAGCATATGCTCCTCACAGGCTTAAAATGTGAAATGCGGTTTACATTTTGGTGGATTTATTGCTCGCTGGTGATCAAATCAAGCAGATCATGGCATGAATAAAACCTTACAGTATGTCTTCCTCTCCCTTCTCTGATCATTCCCTGCCTTAAAGGACCTCACTGCTCTGGCCAAAGAACTCCGCGAGCTGCGAACCAATGAGGAAACAAACCGGCCACCCAGGAAAGTGACGGATTACTCCTCATCCAGTGAGGAATCGGAAAGCAGTGAGGATGAGGATGGAGAAGGCGGGGCTCATGATGGAACGGTCCCTGTTAGTGATATTCCACGCATTATGTGAGTGATTTAGTTGTTTTAGTTAACAGCAACAACACTGGTCGGGTTTTCGAGTCCGTTGACATGCTTTTGTGCTTTCAAATGTTGACAGGTTATTTGTTAGCAGATACACATTAATATACAGTCTTTTGCTCAGCGCCTCATTAACACTAGAAGTGCCAGAATTCCAAAACTACTAGAACGGCCACAAACGGTCATTTTGACCGTTAGATTCAAAACAGTGTTGATGAATAATTTTTATAATTATTTTTGTCAACCACATTTTTTCAAAGACGAAAACGAGATGATAACTAAATAAAAACTAGGTTTGAATGACAAAAACTATGACGAAAATGTTAGATAGTGACGATTTGCGACGCGGTCAAGGCTAATAATAATAATAGGACTCGCAGAACTGAACAGCCAATGCAGCAAAACAAACAGCGCAGGACAGGGCAGCAGAGCTCACCATCATCCGACATGAATGGAACATCTGGATCGGCCGTGTCTGATGATAGCAGCCGTCTCTTTTTCCTTGATGTGACTCTGAATCACTCTCTGATGAGGAGGAAATGTTAACTTGCACCCAGGAAACGTCGCTGTCACTTTCCACCTCCGATTGTTCCCCTGCATCCGAATTATAGATGTAGTCCGGTTTTATTTGCTTATTTCTGATCAACAACTAATGTAGAAATTATTATATAGCAAACACTGCTACAGAGGTGACGGACGGACCATTCTGTTGACAGTTGAGAGAGAACACGATCAACCGCGGGATATAACAAAAAAATACCGCAAAATTCAGTGCGGTCAATATGACCGTCTATGGCCGAAATAGGTAAATATGTTCATTTTTTTTTGTTTTGCCTTACGTTTACGTAACTTAATTTATATGAAAAGCATTTTAAATGAAAATACAGACAATTTTAGGAAAAGTCAGGTACCAGCAGGATTTTATTATTTTTTTCAACAAAGTTATTGTAGATATAAAATTCAAAACGGTCAAAATGACCGTTGTGGCCGTTCTAGTGTTAAAAAAGGTTGTGCAATTAAATTCTCTCCTGAATGAGAATGTGCTCTTTCCTCAACTCCTTTACACTATATACACACATTACATATAGTGTCTGCTATTTTTAATTGGTATATAAAAACATGTAACGTTTTGAACACTATTACTGTTGGCCAATGACCTTATCAGGTTGAATATTAAATATCAAAGTGGCATCCAATTAAGAATATTTAGCATTTTATGCGAAAGCAATTTATGAAGTTAATTTGAGGGGAAAAAAGTAGTCATTTTTGAGAGTTATAGTAGAGTTAGGTAAAAGATGACAGATGATATTACTTATTGTTTATTTGACTCATTGAAAAAAAGTTCACTTTCTACACAAACTAGTTCAAAGTTCAGTTAACACATTTTAAAATGAACTACTTCATTCATAGTTCGTTTTTTTCATATGTTGCGAGATTTTATTTTATTTTTTTATTGCCACTGTCCATATACAACAATAATTTTATTGACGGGCAGTTTGCACAGAAATGTAAGATTTTTCTCATCCTCACCGACCTCGTCATAAAATCCGTTTAAATGATCATACGACGCTCGCTCCTCGCTCGCTGCTTTGTCGACGGCGGCGCAACACTGGTGTCTTGTGTTGCCAGATTGTGTGTTCTTTCGCTACATGTTAAGGCCTGTTTACGTGTGTTTTAGCCAGGATTGCACCTGGAAGGCTCTATAGAAATCGGACACACTATTGTACGAAGTTAAACTGAGAGAGTGTGCGTTCACATACACCAGAATGAACGAGTTCATCAGGCAGTAATACAGTACGTTCAGTTCACGTTAGACCAAATTATGAACGCGTTCAATGAATGATAGTTATATACAGCACCTTTAAAAAAGCATCATCATTTATAGAAGTAATGTATGTGTATTTTTGTCCTATTCTCCCAACAGGCCTCCTGCTGGCCAGGGTGGCGCTGACTCACTGGGCAACCTGGAGGATTCTCATGCCAATGACTCATTTGGTAATAATTCACAAGACGGCACCCTGATGATGCGTGAGGTAGGTGCACCTACCTAGACGGGTTCCTTTCCTGGTTAGCACAAACTCCTACACTCATTCCTTTAGTGTCACACTTTTATTTCTCTTTTAGTTTACCAACTCATGTTTGTTTTTGCCTTGGTTAAGCCTTATTTTATTGGCCTATATTTTGGTGTTTCTTTCACCTTCTGATTTCTCCAACAAAATCTCTGATCAAGCTTGTCGCGCACTTGCTGACAGAGGCACGCTCCGTGCGTTTCCCGAATATCTCTGCAAGATGGCTTAGCCACGCAAGGGGCCTCCAGTAGTGTAGCCCTACTCCTCTTTCTGTTCCTCTCTGCAGACGTTTGGGGAAAGAAAGCTCGGTCATGCCGAGAGCAATGGTTTCCCCGGTAACTTCAATCTGCCCGATCTAGTGCAGGAAAGCCACTCGCCTGGCGAGGGCCCTGGGCGGCATTCTAGCGGGCTGGACCTGGACTCTGTGGCTGAAGTAGGTGACGGACGAGCCTGTTAGAGCCACCCTGAAACCCTCAAATTTCTAACCCGACACATCTAATCCATCCCCATTCACCTGGTTGTAGATTCACTGAAGCCCAGATCTTGTTATAATTCACATTAATTTCCTTGTTTTTTTTTCCGTTTGTTTCATATTTATTCTCTTTATTTAATTTGCTATCATTTTAACATCATATTTTTAAACATATAGGACAGTCAATAAAATGCTTTCTTTCCCTTTGATTCATTTTCCCTTCTCATAAGTGCCCTGATTTTGTGCTTTTACTTCAAAAAATTATTTTATTAATCAGTATTTTTCTTTTCATTTAAAAAATATGTAAATGTCCTTTTAACAAGATTAATTCACTTGGATTTTTTTGTGTGTAATATTTCAAATACACAACAGTTTAAAAGTTTGGGGTTGGACAGATTTTTTTATGATTTTGGAAGAAGTCTCTTATGCTCACCAAGGCTGCATTTATTTGATCATAAATAAAGTTAATAACTATTTACGGTGTAGATATTTTTCAATTATAATTTATTCCTGTGATCAAAGCTGCATTTTCAGCATCATTACTCCAGTCTTCAGTGTCACATGATCCTTTTTATTATCAATGTTAAAAAAAAGTTGCAAACAGTATTAACTTTTATAAACAGTATTTCTTTTTATTCAGGATTCTTTGATGAATATAACGTTAAAAACAGCATTTATTTGAAATAGAAATCGTTTATAACATTATTAATAGATTTACTGTCACTTCTGATCAATCTAATGTGTTCTTGATGAATGGCTGAAAGTATTAATCTTTTATGAAAAATAAAATTCTTACAGATCCCAAACTTTTGGACAGTTATGTAGATCTCGGAATAAATCTCTAAGAAAACACACACACACATACATAAATATATACATAAGGTAAAATACTGATTATGTAAATAAACTTTTGCAGTGCTTGCTTTTCCTGCTAACATTTTACAATAAATGGGCCTTTCTAACTTCAGTCAATCATTAAATGAGACATTTTGTATGGTTTGTGGATGCTTTTCTCACATCCTGATTCTCCATGTTGGCAGTTTGGGATGGGGAGTGGATCCAAAGCTTCCTTCACTCCTTTTGTGGATCCACGAGTGTATCAGACCTCCCCCACAGAAGACGATGAGGACAACCTTACCTCAGGTGACTTATCCACCCCTTATAACCCTTGTTCACTTAAATAATGACAGTGCTAGTGTCCTTTTCATCAGTGGATGCTCAGAATTGGGCACCAGCTCAGAGACTGGCACTTTGTCATGTAAATCATGAAAAAGGGGGCCCTAATTTGTCACATACTCTATATGATATATGATGAGCACTCAACAAAATCCTACTGCAAAGAAAAACAGTCAGTGATTATGATGTTTTTATTTGGCGACAGCTCACTTTGCAGATGAACTCATGCGGCAGGAACAGGAACAAGCTCGATTGAATGAGGCTCGGAAAATTTCAGTTGTCAATGTCAATCCCACCAATATCCGGCCACACAGCGACACGCCGGAAATCCGCAAGTACAAAAAGCGCTTCAACTCTGAGATCCTGTGTGCTGCACTATGGGGTGAGTCTAAGTCGACTTTTTTCTTACTTTATACTAAACATCTGTTCCTAATTGATCCGTTTAACTCTTGTTTTTGATCGTTGTAGGAGTGAACCTGCTGGTAGGAACCGAAAATGGACTCATGTTACTAGATCGCAGTGGTCAAGGCAAAGTCTACAATCTGATCAACCGCAGGCGCTTTCAACAGATGGAGGTTCTGGAGGGTCTCAATGTCCTGGTCACTATATCAGGTGAGCTCATTATCATCTCTCCGTTTGACTAGACAAAGATCTGTTTTGTTTATTTTGGATCTTTGCAGTTTCTATATGAAATGAGAGGTTCATAATTCCTCTTTATTCACAGGCAAAAAGAACAAACTGAGGGTCTATTATCTGTCATGGCTCAGAAACAGGATACTTCACAATGACCCCGAGGTAGAAAAAAAACAAGGATGGATCACTGTTGGTGACCTAGAGGGTTGTGTCCACTATAAAGTCGGTATGTCCTTTGGTCAATTTGGCCAAATTGTTTTCATACCTATATCTATCTATCTGACTCTCTGTCTGTCTGTTATATTATCTGTGTCGGTCTATCATCTATCTATTTATCTGTCTGTGTGGAAAAAAAAATGATATCCTAATAATATTTTCACATGTATTTGTTGTTCAACAGTCAAATATGAGAGGATTAAGTTCTTGGTGATTGCATTGAAGAATGCAGTGGAGATTTATGCCTGGGCTCCCAAACCATACCACAAATTCATGGCTTTTAAGGTGAGACACATGTCTGGTCCAGTGTGATCCCCTTTAACCCCTTAAGTGTCGCCCCCCTTTTTTTTGAATATACATGAAAATGCACATTTCAAACTTAAATGGTTGTAATTCAAGAATGCTTTGGAATATAGATGCAAGATTGGTCTTGTTTTAAAGAAGACATTTGGCTGATTTTTATTTTAAATAAATTAAGAAAATGAAACCGGAATAAAATTATAGAAGTTTTAGGTTATGAAAAGCCCATTATTCATATTTTATATAAAATGTATATTTTCAAAACCTGGGCAACACTAAAACTGCAAAAATAATCAAAGCCAAAAATCTGAATAAGTTTACATCTCAAAAAATGAGCTTTCAGTAAGATTTTGTCTGGCCGCAGTACCAAACTTTTTCACTAGATGACAACCAGACTTGATATGAATTTAACCTATAAGAAACATAAAAAGGACAAGTGTGTGCATTATAGCGTCCTGCCACATCTCAAATGGTGAATCTATTTTTTTTTCTTTATATTTAAAAATAATTCAGACCTTTTTTTCCAAAATAATTTAATTGAGGCTATCTTTTGAACTCTTGGCATGAAAACAAACTTCATGATTTTTCATCTTCATCACTATTTCAAAATAAAGGTCTAAACATGCCTTAGGAGTATGAAAATATTCTTGTTGCAAATTGATAAATTCAATAAAAAAAAATCTTTGAAAATCAATCACCAAAAATGGAAACTAGACATTGTAAGCTTTCAAAGTATATATAGTTAATATTAGTTTAGGTTTAGTATAAGATAGTACTGTTCCAAAAATGTAATGGATTTGGGTGCGCCGGTGACACTTAACGGGTTAAGAGAGCGTTTGTGTGATTGTTTTAACTAAACTGCCCTGCAAAGTTTAATTCTAAGGCCTATTTTCTCCTAAAGTAATGCAGAGCACGAAATGTGCAAATTAGGTAGCTATTTTGGTACTATAGTGCCTAGAGCATATTTCGTTGTGAGTGTCATTGTTTAAAGCCCCTCAGTAGCTTGTTCGTCATGTTTTCCGTGTCTCTTCTGTCTCTCCAAAGTCTTTCACAGAACTTCAGCACAAGCCTCTGCTTGTAGACCTGACGGTGGAGGAGGGTCAGAGGTTAAAGGTTATCTATGGCTCCAGCGTTGGTTTTCACGTGATAGATGTCGACTCTGGGAATCCATACGATATCTACATCCCATCCCACGTAAGTGACAACAGGCCGGGCGGAGGCAGCTCTCCCCTCCTTACCCTGATTCCAAGGGACTTTAAATAGGACGACGACTCCTCCCCGGGGACACTGGCATGCACTGTAGTGTTGATGTCTGTATCACATATGTCTTTTAATTACAGACAGGGTCCAAATTTAACACTCAATCCAAATGCAAGTTAAGAAACTGCTTTGGTGAGAAAAATAAAACCCTTTCCAGTTGGCTGGTAACTTTTTAGGGATTGTTTTGTTTAATACATATGTATTAATTGTCTGACATGAGTCTAACCCTTATTAGTATTATAATTTAAGGCAATATTAAAGACATCTGGTGCAACTTACTTCTTCTAGCATCTTGAGAAATATATCATCATAAGTGTATCAGCATCATTTATGATCAGAAATGTATCTTAGTTATGAACATGGTTACATAGTTATTTTATGCGTTTATCCAGAAAAACATAAAAGATTAAAAAAGCCTAAAATATAAGAGAACTGAAAGATGATGCTTTCACTTTTTCACAGAAATTCTGAGACCTGCTGATTTGTTTGATGCTACCACAGTGACCTATTATTTGTTATAGGACCTAAAACAGCTTGCTTAATATATTAATATAAATATATATTATTAATACAAATAATGAAAATGTAATTTCATGTCCTAAAATGGCCCTGAAATCACCTGGTTTTGCAAGAAAGTTAATTTTGGACCCTGATTACACCCTTTAGAGCAACGCGTTTGAATGTTTTGTGTGTAGATGAATGGTTATTCATCTATTAGTTGACTAAAGCAGATTTCATGATATTGCAAGTACATGCCATTTATTGTTCTAACATTATTAAGTGTGATCGAAAAGGATCTCCACTGTAAGAGAAAAAACATGTCCCCGATCTACGACCTTTGACAAACCAAACGCGTACATGAACCAAAGCAGCCAAACCGTTCCAATGCCCCATGGTAGCCCGTTAGCGGGGCGCTTTTGGGCTCAGGCGTCGGTGTGGTGGAGTGGAGGGCAGGAGTCTCGATTGTTGCAGCAGTTTCTCGAAGGGAGAAGCTCTGGCGAGACAGTGGAGCAGAAAAAAACATGACTGACAGGGCCGGCCCGAGTGGGGGGAGAGCGTCATCTAGTGGGGGAATGTTTTGCACTACGGCTCGTTTTTGTCACCCCAAGGCTCATCTGCGCCCACCCCTCCCTTCCCAGATTCAGGGCAGTGTTACACCTCACGCCATTGTGGTGCTTCCCAAGACCGACGGCATGGAGATGCTTCTGTGTTATGAAGATGAGGGAGTCTATGTGAACACATACGGCAGAATCACTAAAGACGTGGTGCTCCAGTGGGGAGAGATGCCCACCTCTGTTGGTAGGTTTTGGTTGTTTATTTCACACAAAAACGCTCCTGTTCTCCTTCTAGAGCCCTGATGCGAGTGCACCTGACCGTCCCCGACACCCCTCAGAATGAAGCCTTTTCTGAATCAGTCCTCTCACTCACAAACATGCATGTCTCTGTCCACTCACTGCTCTTCTCTCTTTCCTAGTCCGCTTTTCTGCCCCACTTCACCTCACCTCGGCACACCTATATACTAAACCCTGAGAGAGTGCAATGTTTGTCTGTATGTCTGGCACATCTTGTGTACTGTTTTGTTCACGCAATATATACCTCTGTTATTAATAACCACTTCATCTGGTTTCCTTTGAGACCAAAAAACTTTGTGATTTGACCTTGGATCCAATTTTCATACTGTTTTTATACTTGGGTGAATGTCAGAAAACATGTCTGGGTCATATTTCACCTTAAAATCAAAATAAAGAAACGACATTTGTATTTAGTATTATTTTATCCATATTATGCTTTGCTATTCAATTTGCAATTTCATTAAAAAAAATCTAAATTGATATACCTAAAACGGGACAAAAAAAATATATTTAATGTTTCAATTAATTTTGATTCTTGAGGAAAACTATTAGTCCATATGCACATGGAACAGTGTTTAATTGTGATCAAAAAAACTTTATTATTATTCAACCAATTTTGGAGTGAAAGGACCCGTTTTCATGAGATTTTATCCAAAACTAAAAAAAATTGTATTCAGCATGTTTATTTTTATTTTTTTAAAAAAAGGGATCGTCATCATCAGTTTCGATGCAACACTTGTTGTCTTTATAGATGTAAATATTGGTGTCTTTCAGCTCTTGCTTTGCTACTTTCATGCATCAGATATTGTGCCATGTGTCTCTAAAATTTAATTTCCAGCTTCAATGTTTGTTTGTATATGTGTTTTCATCTCTCATCCGTGAAGAATTTTAATGTTATGATTTAGTCATTTGTTGTCCGATACTGAGGGTTCAGATGTAGACCAGCAGCCGCCCACCCCCTCAGTTCTAAATAAATTAATGTTTCATCCAAATTATGTTCAACTCTACAGTGATTCTGCATTCATGATAACAAAGTAAAATTCACATCTCATGCATTTTCTACACAAGAAGAAAATCAACCAGATCATCATTTTCTCTATGAAGGGCACAGGAAGTCCTCAGAGAGAGTTGATATTAGTTCATTAGTATCCAAAGAGCTCTGGATTTGGATGCTAGTTCCTTTTGACATTAGTTTCAATAATAACCATAATGCTTTAATTTGTGATGCTCAGAAACTGCTGCAATAATGACCTCCTGATGATGTGGGGTGGCTTTGGCAGGCTTGTTTTCATTGGATCTGGGCTAGTTTCAAGTTGCTGTTGGAAGTCAGAAGTCGTTGAGGGACGGGGTGCTGTGATGACGTACTGCATTTGATGTCAGCGCTCTCCTGTCACATGTTTCTTTTGTCTTTTGTACATGTTCGCGTCCTTCCCCCCCCTTCCCTTCTGCAGCCTACATCCACTCCAACCAGATCATGGGCTGGGGAGAGAAAGCCATTGAGATCCGCTCCGTGGAAACGGGACACCTCGACGGAGTTTTCATGCACAAGCGAGCACAGCGACTGAAGTTCCTTTCGGAGAGAAACGATAAAGTATGTCAAGTCACCTTTGTTTATGTAGCGATTTGTGCAGTACAGATTGTTTCAAAGCAGCTTTACGGTGATGAACAGAATTCAATTCTGCTGTAACGCAGCTCTAAAAAGACAATAGTGTCATTGTTCATTGGAGGTCTGGTGTTGATTCAGTTCTCTTCAATGACTGTGTAAAGATCATGATATGTTATCTTGCCCATACTGAATTATCTTTTTTTGGGTACATTTTATAGGAGTAGTTCACTTTAAAAAAAACTTTTGCTGATAATTTACTCACCCCCATGTCATCCAAGATATCCATGTCATTCTTTCTTCAGTCGAAAAGAAATTAAGGTTTGTGATGAAAACATTCCAGGATTTTTCTCCATGTAATGGACTTCAATGGGAACCAAACGGTTCAAGGTCCAAAAGACAGTTTCAGTGCAAACTGTTCAAAGGGCTTTAAACGATTTCAGACAATGAATAAGGGTCTTATCGAGTGAAATAAACGCTCATTTAAAAAAACAAAGCTTAAGTTTTATAAGCTCAAATGGTCGCCTTGCTCTGTTCTGCGATGCACGTTCGTGACTCCTGTTCAAACTCGTATATCAAAATGAACGAATCTTTTTTATGTCATTTGGTTTAACGAACGAAATGAACAAATTGACTCGGGAAAAGATTCGTTCATTTTGATGAACGAGTTCGAATAGGAGAGTCACGAACGCGCATCACACCCTAACCCTAACAGAGCAAGGTGACCATTTGAGCTTATAAAACTTAAACTTTATTTATTTATTTTTTAAATGCGCGATCGTTTCGCTTGATAAAACCCTTATTCGTCGTCTGGAATAGTTTAAAGACCTTTAAATAGTTTACAGTTTGCACTGAAACGGTCTTTTGGACCTTGAATCGTTTGGTTCAATGACATGGATATCTTGTTTATGGATAATAACTAGAGGTGTAACGAGACCCTCGTGTCACGATTCGATACATCTCACGATACTATATTATTGCGATACTCCAAGACGTATGATAAAAGGTTAACAAAAAATGCACTGTTGATTAAAATGCTAAATACATTGTGGGTTTAAATAGATAGGCTTGGACTTGGTGCTTGTAACCAAAGGACAATGGTGACACCAGAATAACAATATTCATGATTCTGATGAATGTCAGGTAACATAAGACATTTGTAATATACCCACAAATATGCCCCCATTGCATTATTTTACATTATAATCAACATTATATATAGTAGTTTAAGACACTGAAACTCTGAAAACTTCATTTTTATTTTAGGGAACCATCCACGATACATATTGTTGCGTTTTTGTATTGCGACACGATTTATTGTTACACCCCTAATAATAACTCTAACTGATAACAAACAAAAACTGAATGTAGATTATAACAGTTTGCTCCTTTGTGTGAATAAGAGGCCGAATAATGACATCCGTTCCTCCGTCTGCAGGTGTTCTTTGCCTCGGTCCGATCAGGAGGCAGCAGCCAAGTTTTCTTCATGACCTTGAACAGAAACTCCATGATGAATTGGTAATTCATTCCCGCCCCTCCTCTGCATTGTATCCGTGGACCTTTTCTACTTCATTGAAAAGTGTGAAAAAAGGAACGACAGGAAAATCCAGGGGCTCTGGATAATCTGGCAGATGGCAAAAAGACCGAACCTAGCTGGGTCCTTCTCAGAAGAGTCAAAGACAAACCCAAACGCCCCAACGAACAACAAAAGGTGGCAGAGGAGCACAACCGGTCTGCATTGTTTTATATGGCCCTTTCATTAACATTTGTGGGGTTCTGATGTTTTTGTCCTTATAAATATGTATCTAGATTCTTCTGGACGTGAAGACTGGAAATATGGGAAATCCAACCCACAGAGTAGAGTGAATATTTGTTAAGACACTTTTTGACACGATAACTTATCACGGTTGCGCTGAACGTCGGTAAACCTCCCTTGCGGGATGAATCCATTGAGCCTGGTTTGTGTGATCAACCCTTTTTCTTTTTTATGTTTCAGCTTGGAATGCACACAGATGTTTGTGTCATGTGGAAATCACTCTAATGTGTGAATCGAAACTGATATTTAAGACTTGTATGATACTTTATGAAATACCACATTATGTTGGAGCAGACACACTTCGGGCTGTCCACAGAATGCCTTAAAAATGAATTTGCAAAGCTGCTCGTTTTTATTTTGAAGTCCATAATATATTGACGTGTATGCATTTTTTCTGTAATGAAAAGGGAACATGGTAATTTTTGGGATGGAAATTGATGCCTGCTGAAATGGACATATAAATATAAATGATCCTGAATATTAATACTGTGCATTCCTTGTTTTATGCCAAAGCTCTATAGTATTCACATCACATTTCACACAGCCTGTGATTCGCGCCGTTTTCCTTGTGTTCAGAACCTTTTTCAGTTTATTTCAATCACCTCCGCAACTTATTCATGCACATAATAGGAATATAACAGTTCACCCTACAATTCAAATTCAATGTTAATACAAAACTATCACTGAATCATTCAGTCACACACACACACACACACACAAAAAGAGACATTTAGCACAATGTCCAAGCTGCTCTTTTCCATATAATTAAAATGACCAAATGCTGCCAAGATCTAAAATGGACAAAAAAGCATTGTAGTACGTACAGATTGTGCACTGTATTTCTAGTTTCTGAAGCCATATAATGTTTTCTGTGAGGAACAGGCTCACTAATGAATCATGAACATCTTACTTGACATCCCTGGTCACTTTTCACTTCCATTGTCTGGAAAATAACAGCCTGAACATTAGTTTTGAAAGACGATAGGGTGAGCAAATGACAATTTTTGGCTATTGGTGAACAAATTTCCCGATTTGACTTCAGGAATCTGTCTGAATCCTTCAACTGATGGGTAAATACTACAGAGCTTTGTATTGAAACATAAAAAAGTACATAAAGATTCTGTTAGAGTATGCAAGTTGCTGTGTAAGTGTGTGTGTGTACATGTGAATGAATGATGAAATGTAACGCTTTCCACCAACAATACAAAAACGTTCGATATGTTAGCATTAACATACCAGCAATCTCAACTTGTTTTCGTACCAGGTGTAACACGCCTCCACGTGTCATTAGGATAAGAATGTGCTGCAGTTTTGTATTTTTAAGTTTGTTTTCTCATGACTTTCAGCAAAGTGCAATAAAGGCCAAGGGAATCGAGCCTGGTGAGTCAATTGCTCGCCTTTCCTCAAGATGGATCTCTAATTTCCAACTGTTTCTAGAGGGACTTTCACTACCACCCTCTGTAAATATCCACTTCCTTTTTGGAAAAGAGTCCTGCCTCCGAAACGAATCCATTTGAACTGTCTGTGGTTCTGTACGATCCATCTTGTCCTCTGTGTGAATCACATACTGTAAATCGGTGAACGAAGGGTAGTGTTTTACAGAGCTTCCTTTTAGGCTACCTCGTTTCTGTTCACCTGTTGGGTCGGTTCAGATTGCATTGTGGGCATCGATGCCGTAAATGAAACTTTGTGAGTGACAATGAGGCAATATTCATGATCGTAGAAGAGGCAAGTATTTATTCTCTTTTTAAAATGCAACCAGTAGATCAGTGAATTTTCAAGTTTATTCAATTTTAAAATAGGCGATTTTTAATTGGCGATTAAATATGTTGTAAATGAACTAATGTTAAAGAAGCCTATGTTGTCATTACATGTAGATTCAGAGGTGATTTAAGTGTAGAGCGCCAGACAGAAATTTTCAGAAATGGAAGCTTTAAAAAAAAAAAAAATCATGGTGCAATGTCTCGTGCAACAGCCAAATCAAGCCTACACTTCATATTAGGGTGATTCTTCAATTAGGGACTTTTTAAGTATTTTTATTTAAGCCTAATGATATATTGAGTTAATTTGGATTATTTGTACAGTTTTTTTTTTCTCCAATACTGGTCATTACCGCAACCAGATTATTAGCTGTCATTACTTGAGTTTTGATTCACATTTTTTTTTTTTTTTTTCATGAACAAGCACACAACTGTCATGTTATTTCTACTTGAAAGTTATGGGAAAATATCATATTGTATGGAGCCATTTAAATAATCTTTTCGTGATTTTGTGTACTTGAAAATGCCTCTGATTGCAGAATCGCCCATTAATAGACTTGAAGTCCTTCCAAACGACATGGCATTTTATTCAAATGGAATCATCAAGTCCTTTATGTACTTTTATACATTTGCATTACTGTTCTGTAAGGGCAATAGAGTGTGAAATTCATTTGACACAACTTGGATCTTTTGAGACTTCATGTTTTTTATCCATCAAACTGTGAACTGGGTGGATGTGTGTGCAGGTTTGAAGTACTTACGGGATCTTCCCATCCATTTTATCAACACAAATGTAAACTGTGAGGTCGATTGATTTCATCATCCTCTCTCACGCAACCACCTTCAGTGTGGAAAGTCTTTTGATGTGTGCTTGACCTCGTTTTCTTTCTTAATATGGACATTAATACTGTAAGTACATCCTTTATATTCAGGCTGAGCGAGTTGTTTTATTTCTGTATTTCTCTTCATTTTTTGCGTGTATTAAACTCTGAGATTTATAGCACAACCAAGCTTTCTGGATATTGGCTGTTATATTTATGGTTGCTCCATGTGTGATTGAGTGAGTGTGTGTTTGATTTAATCATGCTGTTTTTATGGGGTTTGTTTTAAGCCTGTAAAAACACCAATTAAAGACGTAACACAGGCATACTGACACTAAAATGAGAAATTTCAAGCCTTCTGTTATAGACATTTGAAGCTGAAACTGGGCATACCATGTTTTGTTTACAAAATAGGCAGGCTGTAAAAATTTTTAAATAGAGTTTTTAAGGCTATTAAACTAGATTTTTGTTCCAAATGTAACTTTAAATGTAGCCTGGACTTTTAAGATATGATCTCATCGAAGCTTTGCCTAGCTGTAAGAGTTATATTTTATTGCTTACAATTTATTACATGGTGTAAATCAAAGTCACCAAAATCTCGTTCTTCTAAACTATTTTATGGTCATAAAACTTTTAGTAATCCAGTTTTGCTTGATATTCTGATCCAACTTATTCATTGTTTTGTACAGTGCTTAAATGCTGGTATCTCGTGTTCAGAAAGCAGCAGCAGTATAGCGTTTTTTTTAAAGGCGTTGTTTTCTTTAGTTTGTCTAAGAACTATAAAATCTATTATAGTGTCAGAGATAATTATATGAGTTCTTTATTTTACAACAATTTTGACACTGTTTTTTATTATAAATTGTTGGTTTGATTTATTAATACGGTATTGTTCAGTGCCCTTTCCAGTTTAGATTTCACCCTTGATAACTGTAAATATGTTTAAAATAGTATAGGGTTGTTTGTGGATCTATTCTAGTCTTAATCAATGCTCAGTGTTTATTTTTAAAGAGGAAGCCTGAAGAAGACTGCATATCAAAGCAAAGAATCGGTCTAGAAAAGCTGTTAGCAATAATTATCATTACTGATTTTGTCAGTCTTCATGACTCTTTTCTACTTTGACTGAAATGCCAGTTTTTTTCTCATTCAGATGGAGCCAATTATTTCTGAATTAGGACAATGTGAAATGGATAAATGGAAATATTTCAGATTTTCACTTGTCACCAAAAATAGACATTCTCTTTGCCTTTTTTTTTTTTTTTCAATAAATTGACACTTAACCAGACCATGTGTGTTGTTTGATTTTTTTGTATACAAGTATGTAATAGTCTATATTATATATTTTTGATGTTAATAATAAAATCCATGGTAATAAATACTGCCATTCCATTAAAAATTGGATGGTCAAATTTGATTTTATCACATTTAAGACGTTCATTTAAAGTACAAAATTCACTAAATTCATTCAGATCTGCAATTTTTAGATAGATAGATAGATTAGATAGATAGATAGATAGATAGATAGATAGATAGATAGATAGATAGATAGATAGATAGATAGATAGATAGACTTTTGCTGGAATTGTATTGTTATGTTTTATTAAAAAAAGCAAGGTTTTCTATGATGGTTTAGAAGGGTTAGTGTTGGGGGATAGAATTTACAGTTTTAGAGTATAATAAACAATACGCATATGGATTGCCCCCGTCCTCATAATGATAGGTGCACCAACGTGTGTGTTTATATAGGTTATATATGGAAGTTTGCACAATTCATGATGTTTTTTTTTTACAGTCTATGTGTTCAATCCACAGATCCTAAGCGCTAAGAGGCACTAAGCATACGCTTCAGGCACAATCCATCCTCTTTTCTGCAGAAGAAGTGGAATCCCGCCCACTGTACGGATGCCGCATTAAAATTGGCCGCGCTTGCGCGTTGACGTTCCTTTTTTTCTTGGAAGTAAGTGCTGCATGGAGCGTGTTTGAATTGTGAACGAAAAATTACACAGAACTTTCCTGTCTTAATGTATACTTTTAAAAGCTGTCGGACTTTAAAGTCTACGTCATGGCGGTGAACGTTACCGGGTGGTCTTGAGTAAACGTGTTACGGCGGTTCTTTGATGCGGCTATCTAGTTCGCAGGCCGCGAGCACGCGCGAGGCCTTTCCTTGCGCGCACTGACTTTATTGAAAAAGAGACCCGTGAGAAACTTTGGCTAACCCACACGATACCTGTTTCACCCGCTTTTTGTTAGTTACCTTACAGTTTGCCAGTTGTGGTCGTTGTTCCATTTATGTGTGTTTCTATTACTTGGGCGTTAGCCTCTTAGCCGAGTCATTGATCAGCGGCGAAACCACGTTGACCTGCGCCACGCGAATCAGACATACGGTTAACCGTTCGCTTTTCTGTAATCGATGACGTTGGATTAATGAGTTATGACGTTGTTTTTGATTCTTTTTAGCGAGTCTGTATGGTAAAGGCGTTACAATTTAAGCTAGCTAGCATGTATTGCCTTCTAGTCCATCTGGCCTGTTCGGCGTGGTCATTGTGTTTTATTGCGTGCAAAACAACGACCGTAAAGTGTCAAATGTGGTTCGTTAAGTATTTTAACGACGCGTTTGTAAATACGAACAACTGTTCGCTGAAGTTGAATCAAGTTTGCTCGTTTATTTGGATTATAAGCGGTGAAATTAGAGCAGCATGATGATGATGCTGCAGGTTTGAGTGCTAATAAGGGTCGATTTATTTGCAATTCGATATAAAATGGCTGCATAACATTTCGTAATGTTTAATTGAAAACTGTTCTTTATATTGAGCTATTAAAGTTGTAAGGCAGTCCTAATGTTTGACTAGCCAACTCATACAGTGGAAAACTGGCTCGTTTGTATGTGACTCATCTATGATGTTATTTTGTGGGATTTAAGGTTATAATATACTAATTTCTTCTTGTCCTTTATTCCCTCCAGTGCCCCTTGTTTAGATCCCCATCATGGCAGATCCAGATCTTGATTTCACCAGCGGAGATGCCGGGGCTTCTGCCACCTACCCCATGCAGTGCAGCGCCCTGCGCAAGAACGGGTTTGTGGTCCTGAAGGGTCGCCCCTGCAAAATTGTTGAAATGTCTACTTCCAAGACTGGCAAGCATGGTCATGCCAAGGTAATATTTGGATATCACTATTTTGCATGGCTGTTTTTAACCTTTGGATGTTGGCATTAATCACTCGAGTTTCTAATTACAGGTTCACATGGTTGGAATTGACATTTTCACAAATAAGAAGTATGAAGATATCTGCCCCTCCACCCACAACATGGATGTGCCTAACACCAAAAGAAATGACTACCAGGTGAGACATGCATGGCTTTGTGAAATTCAAGATTTAATGGTGAAAATGCAGCTTTTTGTGTGGTTTGTGGGTGATCTGTGATCTGCTGACCCAGTAGCCCAAGCTGTGTGCAATAAACACAAGCACTTTCCATTATAGTAACTTGTCAGTTTATCTAGTATTCAAATGCCACCATCCTTTTGTTACTGATTTGTTCCTGATTGCATTGAACACTGGTCATTAACTAGTTTGGAAATTTAATCTGCTAGTTATTGGTGTAGTAAAATTATTGCCATGTTTTGCTTTGCGCTTGTAGCAAATTTAAGCTTGAGCTCTTAAAGGATGGTTCACCCAAAAATGAACAAAAGATATTTTGAAGAATATGGGTAACTAAACCGTTAATGTGCTCCGTTGACTTCCATAGTAGAAAAAAAAAAAAACACTGGAAGTCAAAGGTTTCCCAACTGTTTTGTTACTATCATTCTTCAAAATGTGTTCAGCTGAAGAAATGTATACAGGTTTGGAACAACTTGAGGGTGAGTAAATGACAGAATTGACATTTTTCGGTGAACTATCCCTTTAATATGTTGGCGTCCCAAACTGAGATTGTTGGTATTTTTCTATTTTTTTATTTCCTTTTTTAGAACATTATTGGTTCAGTGCCGCTTATCTTACACAGCTGATATTTAGTATTTCGTACTTTGACTCATTTCGCCTTAAATTGGTTGCCTGAGGTCAATCTCTTCCACCAAAACACACACAACAATGGTGTAGCTTTATTCTTCTGCAAAACCATTTCTTCCCTTTTAAAATGCATTTTCTTGTGTTTTCCTAGCTGGTTGACATCAGTGAGGGATTCCTCTCTCTCATGATGGACAACGGTGATGTGCGCGAGGACCTGCGTGTGCCAGACGGTGACCTGGGCAAAGAAATCGAAAGCAAATTTGCAGCTGGTGAAGAGATGTTGGTAAGTGCACCTGTTTGAACGAATGCATTTCGATTTTAGCCTGCTTCTTGTCAATGTAAACCACTCATTGTTTTCTGCTTCACAGGTTACTGTGCTTTCAGCTATGGGCGAAGAATCTGCAGTGGCTGTCAAACCCATGACCAAATAGGAAGAAAGACTGGGCTGCTCAGGCTGCAACATGCTACACTTTAACAAATCTCTTGCATTTGTTTCTTTGGTTTTATTTGTCACCAAAGCTATGGCCTTCACAAGCAACCTCACATTTTTGTTGTGATTTGTATTCCTTTTTTTCTTCCAATACTGTGCTGGACTTGTCGGGTCAGTTGGCATTCTCTAGGGTAAGAAGTTTATTATTGGCAGCGTTTACCCCTCGACCTCCCCCATTTCACTTTTTTTTTTTTTTTTCGTTTCCTCTCAAGGTTTTACCACTTGCATTCCTGAATGTTAAATTGAATCCATTTTCCGTTTTAGTATTCTTGAATTTCTTAATAATAACTAGTGTGCAGGATTTATGCAACTTGTTGCGAAGAGAGGAAACCCCAACTGACACTGAACTTTTTTTTCTTTTTTTCTCTTGCCTTTCTGGTAGACATACTTTTACTTTTCTCTTTACATGATCTATGCCATGCTGGCACTGTGGTTAATTTCTCTCAATTGAATGCCATTCTCCCCCCCACCCCCAAAGTGAATGAACACTGGTAGTTGGCACTTCCTTGTTCTTGCAGTACTTCGAGTACCTTCTCAAGTAAAAACCGCTGTGACCGAGAAATAAACTCCAGTGAAATGTTCTCTTAAATGACAGTCTCTAATTGTTCAGAAGTGGAAAGGATGTGATGGCCATGTGCGAATACCTCTGTAACCCAAAATAGCAGCCAGCTTGATTTTGGCTGTCAGTGACGACATTAAATAAAGTGTTGAAGCCTGTATTTGTCTCCAGGTAGACTCTTATCAGTGCTGCCCCAGAATGAGCTCAGGCTCTTGTATACTGAATATTTATAGTATAAGTATACTGAAGCTCCAGGACTGAATATTTGATGCGAGTTCTAATCTTCCTTTGTTCACTCGAGGCCTTTGTCACCTGACTGGAGAGAGCAAAAAATAAAAACCTAATAGATTACCTTTTACTTTTTTTTTCTTTTCTTTTTTATGAAGCACTTCATCAGTATTGAAAGAAGTTCCCAAATGCTGGTTAAGGTGTTGCTTCATATTTACAGTGGATTTTTCATCTAGTAATATTTAATGTGTGAGCTATTCTTCTTTATCTCTGTCTTTGGAGAATGAATAGCCTTGTGTTTAAAAGTTACTTAGTCTAACCTGTCTAGTCATTTGGGATGACTTCATTTACTTAAGTACAGATATTATACTTGAATCAGAAAGTGTCTGTTTTGAAGTATGATCTTAGGGACATCGCCTACGTGTTCAGTAGCACAACATGCAGTGTTTTTGTTCTCAAATGAAGTCAAATTATATATTCATGTGTATATATTAGGTGTATAAAAATAAGTTTCTTGTCTATTGAATGGTTTTAAATGTCAAGTCTTAAGAATTCATATGGGAAAATGACATGGGACATAATTTTAGAAAGAAGGACAGTAACTGGGAAAGAAAGGCAGCTTTGTTGGGTTGGGCTGCCAAATCCTCTGCATGGGTGGAGCCAAATACTAATTTCCCCTTTGTGGCTGGGTGCCCAGACAACAGTTACTCAATGAAAGTGTTGCACTTCTTGGAGTGTAGCACAGTCTTGGACACCTGTGGCATTGCAGTATATTCAAAAACACAAACTTCATCTAGCAAGTGGCTCCCAGTGAGCACACTCTCTAAAGCCAGTCTATTATATGTTGAATCACGTCTTTACATGAATTTTTCAGATGGTTTAATTTCTAATTTTGCTGTTGTGTAGCTGAGTGACATTAAACATTTAACCAAGCAAACAGAAATTTTCATGTGCCTATTTAAATTTGTTCAAGATTTGAAGTCTGCCCTATAACTGGCATATCGGGTTGTGCCCATGTTCCTGCTAAGGCCTCGCCCAAGTTGTTCTTGGTATGTCAGCACAATAATGATGCAAAGATGAGTCATGAATTCTCAGCAGGAATGCAGAGCCCAGTCTCTGCCTTCCAACTCTATTTATCGAGTATACATGTTAACAATAGAAATCACCAAAACGAAGTATGTTTATTGCGACATCCGACTACATTAATGCGTACAGAGCGATGTATAATCACTATTAGAGATTGCTGAATTAATCATCAACTCGATTAAATGGTAAGTGGGACAAAGGCCATATGGGTGTGGAATGCATAACATTGCATACTCGGGTGTAATTATTTGCTGAAACAGAATCATATTAAAAAAGTTTTAAATTTCTATACAATTACGTATCTAATCTAATTTTAAGATATTGGATACACATTAATTCTTTACAATATGTAAATCGAACTCTTTCAAACAGGCAGTGTTAAAGAACCTGGTCACAAAACAAACTCGATTATTTTTGCACTTCCCCCAGAGTGGTAACTTAGTTATTATTAAATGTGCTAATAAGTAATAAAGTAAAATCCACGGTTCACTTTAACGCATTCAATATCAACGGATCTTTAGAATCAGTTCTTTTGAATTAATAATGAGTTGACTAATATATCTCGACAACAAAAGCCCCTAGGCTGAACTGCTTCACAACTGTTCTAAAAAATTTGGATTGAATTAACCTCGTCTGACTCTGAACGGTCCTTGAATCACAAATACCGAGTCGTTCACAAGCGTTCACAAGTCGGACGTCGCTGAATCCTCCCCAACCAGCAGCCAATCAAATACGAGAAATTTCTGTGAATCCTTGCGCGGACATACGTCACTTCCTCTTTCAACCCAACCTCACCAAGATGGCACCGGTACGTGTCTACCGCAGACCGGTCTTTATGGTTAAATGTATTTTATTGGATCTTTCGTGTAAACAAAATATCAGATATGTTAAATAAGAATATAATATGTCACTCTGAGTTGTTTTTTTTGCATATGGAGTAATATGTTAATTCATTATGTTTGACGTACTATTAGCAGACACGTGGAAGAGCATTTTAGCTTGACGGAAAAGTTCAAACAAATCTATTAGATTAGATTTACAGTAGTGCACCATAATGCGTTTATTAATTTTTATTACAGGACTGAGTTTATGAAGCAAACATTGACTTTAAGTTAACTGAAATGTTTCTTTAGAAAAGGCAGACTTTTGTGAAAAGGAGTAAAAAGGGTGCTTGCTGGAAGTTCACCCTGGACTGTACTCACCCTGTGGAGGATGGGATTCTCGACTCTGCCAACTTTGTAAGTTGTGTAAAAAATTATTAACCATACTTTGTACGATAAAAACACATTGTTAGGGTTCTTATACCCATAGAAAACTTGAAAATATCAGGGAATGTTTATTTCTAAATTCCAGGGATGGATAATTGTTATCCTCAGATTATGTTCTCCTTTTCTTTATGTTATTAAATGCTTTATTGGCTAGGGGATCAAATTAATATTTTAGTTGTTTTTGTCTGAGAGATCTGTACATAAAAAAATACTTGTTCTTTAACCTTGGATATTGAAATTCAAATAAAATTATAAATGTCAAAAATTGTGTGCAGGTAGTCGCATCACTAATGCCATGTCATAACTAGGGTTCCCTTCCCTAGTTAAGTGCCTAGGGTTCTCTTCCCTAGTGGTCATGCTGTTTTATTACTAACAGGAAACATTTCTGAAAGAGAAGGTGAAGGTTAACGGCAAAACAGGCAACCTGGGAAATGTAGTGCAAATTGTGCGTCAGAAGAACAAGATCAACGTCACCTCAGAGAAGCAGTTCTCGAAAAGGTGAGATTTGTAACGCTAACAGATTCTTTTGTTGTTTATCAGTGTTCTTTTTTTAAGGAAAATCTATTTTGTTCATATACTAACAATCCCATGTTCATCAGGTATCTTAAGTACCTCACAAAGAAGTACTTGAAGAAGAACAACCTGCGAGACTGGCTGAGGGTGGTGGCGTCGGATAAGGAAAGCTATGAGCTGCGCTACTTCCAGATCAGTCAAGATGATGAAGAATCTGATGCTGATGAATGAAGCTCTGTCTTGAAATATGTTTGATGGGTGTATCAAGGTCCTGTATAAGCTGTCACATCTTCAAATGTAGGATGTTTTGATATCTGCTTGTAAATAAAGATACACACAGAAATTAAGTGTCTTGTTTTTTCAATTGTGGAAAATGCTTTATGTAATGGGCTTTTTCAATAATGTTGGAGCAAGTGTAAGAGTTAAATGATTCATTAACAAACTGGTAATCTTTAGGAATAGAATTACAGATCCCATTTTCGAAGGTGAGTGATTTACTTTTGGTCTGAAAGATATAAAACGTATATAAAAATGTGAGTAATCAAAATGTGTTTTTTGGTTATATTCTTTTAAGTTGGCCTTCCAATTTGGCCTCTTTAAATGTGTAACAAAATTAAATTTTACATTAACTTTACATAATCACATGGACAGGGCATTCTCGCATGCTCATGATGACATTCAAAATATTATCAAAGAGCCACAGCTATCACTAGCAGTGATAATGATCTTCCAAATGTTAACGTTGTTAACTTCTGAAGTTTAATCTCACATTGATAGAATTAAGTTTTATCTTGGACATATTCTTCAATCCTAAGGTCAAAGGTTAGTGAAAATCTTATCAATGTATTTGCATTGATACGGATGACTTTCCTATAAAGACCTCCACTCTGAAAGGAAGCCTGACTTCGAGCCTCCAGCCAGGATGTCATCAACAGCTGGGCACAGAGAAGAGCCTGAAGTGGCGCCATGGACCAGCTCAGGGAGGAAACGTATTAGAGAGCGATTTCGTGCTACTTTGGCTGGGCTGCTGGAGTTGGAGGTCCTGAGAGTCAGACATAAAGCAATGGTGGAGACTGCCCTGGAAAAAACTGAAACCCATCCTGAAGATTCAACTTCAACAAATATCCAGCAGGGACAGCATCATTACTGGGTGGACAAAGACTCATTCCAACTAAAGCTCAGGCGCAGTTTTTCTGAGGAGGCCATTCATGATTTTGGAAAATCCAAAGAACTCTGGTCATGTTCCAGTCATTCATCTGAGGACCTGCTTCATCATCAGTGCCTGACGGAAAGAAGCTGGCATCACCAAGAACTTCACTCGCACATGGAAAGTCGGTCAAGAGCAAGCTCAGGTTTTTGCGACAGCAACTTTGGGGATGTTTTTACCCCCTGCGACGGTGATGATAATGCCATCTCCACCTCTTTGTCCTCCTTGAAATACAACTCTTTTGGAGAGAGAGAATGTTTAACAGGTGAGCAAACTCTAAGGCGCCGACCCATTTTATTGCAAGGGCATGCAACAGTTCAATCCCAATTCTCAGACGAGGCGATTCCTGAGGATGGTTTCCGATCTGTAGCGGATCTGTATCCAGACTCACACTGGCCAGATGTTTCAGACGTACTTCAACCCAAAGTGGTCCTGCAAGCCAATTACCGTTCTGACCTTCCAGGTCACCAGGGCATGGAAGTGTATCGTTATCCCAGTCCACTGCATGCCGTGGCCCTGCAAAGTCCCTTATATGCGCCACACAGCCGCCAGAATAGCAGAGAAAAGAATGGAAGACATTTTTCTGGAAGCTCTACAAGCTACTCACCAAGACTGGGCTTGGCATGTCCCTGGAAGGTTTCAGAACATTCATGCTGCCTTGCAAAATCCACCTATTCATCATCATCATCATCCAACTTACTCAGGAAACACACCAATTCTTTGGGCAGTAATATGCACTTTGAGGAGCACAAACGTGAGGAGATCATTTTGAAACGGGCCCAAGTTCAATGCCACAGTCATATTGCTTCACCGAGGGATGGAGGAATGCCCTCAGTGCCAAAGAGAAGCATGCACCGCACCAGCTCCTTACACAAAAACAAACCATCCTTCTATTCGTTTCAGTCTGCAGAGAAACAGAAAAGATGTGAGTTGTAATGAGCACTGCATAGAAACTTTGAAAAGGCATCTACATTTATAAAGACTTACAATGAGACAGATGGCCGCTTAGACCAACCTGATAATGTGCAACCAAGCTTTTCACTGAAACTAATATGCAATGTTGTGTTTGAGGGCAGTAAATTAAGGATACCATGAATGTGAGAAATGACGAAATGCATCGCAATAATCAACACAAAGATTAAACACTGCTAGTGATTGCATTAAAACTTTTATTATTTGTCAAATTGTTCAATTTCATTAAACAGTGCATGTAAAAAGTGCATGTCTTTTCATCTGTGATTTAAGTCACATTGTTATGTGATATGTTATCAATTCTCTTTTTGAGAAAGCTCAGGATAAGTTGAAATTATTTCGGAACGAAAATACAAATGAAAACTCCCTCGTTCTGGGTTTACAGCTGCGAAGAAGACAATAATACAGAACTGGTTTACTCCACACATGTGTGCAAAAACATATTGGATTCATAGCCTCCACAAAATAGTGACTTGTGAATGTACAACAGCATGAATTAACAAGGCTAAACCCAGTACCGTTGGTGCATGGCAATGTTTTTCTTCAAAAATTTTGGATTATATGAAGGAATGATTGTATGTATATATATATTTTATATAATATTCTCTGTCATACTGTACATTTCTTGATGTGTCTGTTGCTCCCCCTTCCCTGTCTTATTTTATTTATTTATTTTTTATGTAGATGTTTGTATTATCTTTGTTTATAAAGACAATAAAAGTTGATCACAAAAAGAAAACTCCCTCGTTCTAAACTAAAAACGATAGTTTGACAGCCTGGTGGAAATTTCACCAAATCACAAACTCTACATTAGTGCCATCTAACCTCACTCCACTATGGAACAACCGTGACTTTATGAGCAATAAAAAAACATTGAATTTTCACAAATGGGCGGAAAAAGGTATCACCCACATTAAGCATATTTTCAAATCCAACACATTTGAACCATTTCCACAACTGGCCCAGGAGTATGGCATCGGGAACAACGGATTTCTAAAATACCTACAAATCAAATCTCCTGTCCTGACAAAAATAAACATCAGAGATACAAATGTAGAACTTTCAACGGCAATATCAGACTTGGTCAACATTTCCTCTCCAAAGAAACTTCTCTCTAAAATATACAAAATGATCTCAAACCAACTTCAGACCATATACTTACCAACAATACAATGGGAAAACGATCTTTCGATAGCCCCTGATGCCAACTTCTGGACCCAAATCTGTAAAAACATCTATCTCATGTCCAAAAATGCGAACCTTCAGTTAATACAATACAAAATACTTCACAGAACACATTACACGGGCAATAGATTAGCTAAAATGGGTTTCACTTCAGAAGTTTGCACACATTGCAATCAAAATTCTACAAATGCATACATCCATGCAACCTGGCACTGCACTCCAATCAAACACTTTTGGGAAGAGGTCACACAATCACTATCCACTATAGTTGGCTGCCACATCCCACTGTCGCCTTCAAGGGAAGACTGGGGGACCTCACAATAATCACTGATAAAACTATTAACTCTAAACAACTCCTCATAGCTCTAACCATCGCCAAGAAAACTATCCTCCTGAACTGGAAAACCAGAAATAAATTACACATTAATAAATTAGTATATATGGAAAAACCTCACAAATACCAAGGCAGGCGAGACAGGTGAGAAGTGGTTTCAACGGGACAGCATCTCTGTCCCAATTTGAAACACTATCGCACTGTACTCCTTATTTTAATGCACCTTAGACATTGCACATAACACACACACACACAAAAAAAAAATTAGGAAAAGATAGGGACTGATGAGATGTGGGGGAAGGTTATCTTATAATATATTATCTTATATACCATGATATATATATTATCTTATTATATCATATTTTATTTTATACAGGATTGACAATGGCAATTGTTACATAGGAGGAAGGATGGAAATAAAAATCTACCAACACAATATGGGCAATATGATGGTAGTGGGGAGTGGGATGGTGATTGTAATGACAATGGTAATAAATAATAAATGGTTACTTTGTTTACGCATACACACACATACAGTACACATACCCACACTCACACCCGCTCACATTCACAACAGTTACACCTATCATGTTTTGACGCCCTTCAGGGAGCAAGCTATGGGATCAAGCCTTCTTCCCCCTGCCATACTCGCTCACTTTTTAACATATCCTTTTATATCCACCAGATGTCATCAGAGATGCGTTTGTTTAAATTTGAAGTTAACGGTACAGGTGTGCGTGCACATGTAAAAAATAAATAAATAAATAAATAAATCCAGTGGAGAGATACCCGGATGTTGACCTATTCTACACGCAATCGCCGAGGAGCTGGGGGACGCAGGAAAAATAGACGTTTTACTCATTAGTCTACTTCATTAAAAAACGTGACATTTAGACGTTTTTTCGGCGTGGATCAAGGCAAATGATTCCTTTTCACCTTGAAAATAACAAATGTTTTTTTGCATTTTAAATAATAGAACATTTCTCAGTGATCGTCAATAAAACAAAATTCCATTTTTCTCGGTTTAATGAAAACCAATAGGTCGCTATCTTTACTGTCTATGCCATAGACAGTAAAGATAACGACCTATTGGTTTTCATAGACTCTATGGCAGAGGCGATTGCGTGTAGAATAGGTCAACATCCGGGTATCTCTCCACTGGAACGTGTTAACTCAAACCAACGCAAACGTGTAAGTTTCACGTTTGAGGGGGTTAAACCGTGACATCTACACGTTTTCCAAAGTGGATCAACGTGATTATTTCACGTCTTGTGTGTAAGTTTTACTTTTGAGGGGGTTAAACCGTGCCATCTACACGTTTTCCAAAGTGGACCAACGTGATTATTTCACGTCTTGTCGTGATACCGGGTTGCCTAGTGGGCCAAGATTCAGGCAGAGCCATTCTTCCGAACATTGTCTAGGGGGAAAACCTAACCACTTAAATGTCTGTGATCCTGCAGTTTTCACAGAAATTGTAGAATAACTGCTGAGTGTCAACAAGAGCACAGAAGCTATAAAAATATGTCTAAATTCACATCTGACAAGGTTTGGATGTGGGAGTGAAGGCCATAAAGGAAATATTTGAAAGAAAATATTGCATAGCCAAAACCAATTTTGTCACATTTTACAGAGCTGTTTTTAATTTTTTGGGAAGTCAAGTAGGCCTATGTTCTAACTTAGTGATTCAGATGATTTCACGCTTAAGTGATTTACTGTTTCAATGTGGAACCTACTGTATGTACATAGGCTACATAAATTGTGTAATTTCAATGTATTTTTGTCAGTGAACTGAAATAGTGCAATGTGCGTGTGCATTTAATGGGATGACTAATGCTGGTGACAATTCTTATGCTTAGACACTAAGTTTTGAATTAGCATAGGTAATAAGGTTTGCTGTTGAAATGTAATTGACCTATCTATAGGCTATTGTTGTTTTTGCAGAACAAGCATGATCACTGTTGCACTGAGAACTGCTACCGTTGCAAACACTCCTGCTACATTGCATTCTGACAATGAGTCGCCATGGCGATACTTTTGTTTCCTGCGGAACCTGAGATCCACTTGAGTCTCAGCCATTGAAGTTGAGTGGCAGAGCAATTAAAAATGAATTAAATGCAATAGACATGCATTACTACAATAATAATGAAACTGATGGCTTTGTGTCTTTTCAGGACACATGTCTTTTTGGGAAGGCTATTCAGGCTGGCAACAGCTGAATTTGTCTGTGCTTTTATTTACTTCTCAGACAACAATGAATGTGCTGCAACAAGTTTATTCGATTCACTATATAGTATACAAGCTGATGAGTATGAGATTGATGGCTCAGTATGATGTCCAGTAATGCTTCTGTTTTTCCTTATTTTGTGAATCATCTAGTGCTTTTTGTGCACCATCATGAAAAAGACCCGGATTGGAATTGTTCTTATATTTGTCCTGGTTATGTATACCTGTCAAAATGCTCATTTAATCTATTCTCATCAATCTCATCAGGGAAATAAAGTATGTAGCCCACATTGACCTAACTGAGTATGACCATCTAAAATAGTCCGGGAATCTTCATATGGGCAGCTGTTGAATAGCGGCACATCTTTTAATAATGAACTCTCCTCTGATCACACGCAGGAGAGCCTAAATAATTCACAATGTCTCCGCATTATGTCCCCTGCAGTCTCTACAAGCTTTGCCTGGATTCCTCCTGTACAGCTGCATCGACATTATGAAGCATACAGTGTAAAATCCCCACTGGTGAGTTTTTGCTCCTTTTCTGCCAAGGAAAAATGTTTTGGATTTGAAACTGGACACCTGTATTTCTGTTTCACAGAGCAAGAGACCTTTAGAGCTATTTGTTTTACCAGAGTGGGCAGAGTAGTTGCAGGCTTTACTTTGGCACGGTTAGAGAAAATTGTATTGGCTATGTCTGTTTTAAGAGCAATTCATTTATGGCTCAGCTCAGTATAGCACTTTCAGCTCTCCCTTGACAAACCACAGAAGAACCTCATCAATATTATATATGGAAAGGTTACAGGTTGCACAAGTTAAATAGCCTAACTTATTGGATCCAAATTAGATCATGCACACTCCAGATATTTTGGATTAAGAGAAAGCGCAAGAGTCACATTTAAATCTGGGGATTATTTTATAGGTTTGCTAATGTTAAATTTGTATTTTAAGTGCATTATTCAGATTTTACACTATTTAGGCTAAGGGAACACTTTATTAGAAGCATCGTTAAATATTGTCATGGTAGCAATGGCACTGACCAAGGATAAACAAATTTGAATTACAGTTTACAAGGCATTAACTTAACTTGCATTTTAAAAATGTTTTATACACAATTTGATACTTTTACCAACTTTAAGAAATTCAAAGATTTAGGTTTCGAAATTCAAACTGACAACCATCACTATCAACATTTCCATATTGAGTTACATTTGGTCTCCTTTCTTGCCTTTATTTGCAAACTGCATTATCATTGATCATTTCTTTCTAGGCCTATGTTTAATAATCTATAGCTAGGTTAATAGTGCTTTATGTATGCTGAATCTACTGTAGTTTGTTATTTCTTTCCCCCCACAGAGGTTAAGTGTCATTCACAAACATAGTAAAAGCTCGATTAAAAAGCAACTGATTTTTTAAAAAAAATATTTTTATTTTTTATTTTTTTACATAATCTATTTACATATCAGCACCAATAAGGTAAACTCAAATGCCATTAATCAAAAATTAAGTGTTTTACTATCTGTTAAATTTGACGACTTTTCACTTCCGAGTGACAGACGGTTTCTTACCATACAAGACGTTTTTATAAACATGCGTTATGTTATGGCGGGTCTCGTTTCTACACATTAAAAGTGGTTAAAAACTTTTTAAAAACGTTCTTTTCCATTCCATTCCAATGCGCTGCGTCTCGCTTTTTTCGAATCCAAAAACGTGTAATGGAATAATGGCGTCATCTCATTCAGATCTCTTTACGTCATTGACGTCAGTAATGTTTCTGCAATAGAGAATATTTTGCTAGAGCTTTGTGTAATTGTGAATGATTTCTGACTTCTCTCCTTATATATAATGAGATTCATCTCACCTCTTCCTCATAATCTACCTATTCTTTACTCTGGAGTCTGATGACATCAGTTCTTTTTGTCAGGACTAAATGTAATCACATGCAGATCCCTTTTTAAGCCTTCATAATTAATTTCTACATAATACAATTCTTAATTTCTTGATAAGAACCAGCCTTTATCTTTTTTATTTGTCTGTAATCTGTGTATTAAGAGTATTGACATATTGGGTATGTGTTTTAAAATATCGTAGTTTAGCCTATATTTGTGTTGATTGGGAAGGGCATATGTCTTTTATGACCCAGCATTCATTCTATTTTATTTTAAATTTCCAGTTATTCACTCATTTCCGCCAGGTAAAATAAAAACAGGAAAGTGAATGGGTTACTCAGACCACAATATAATAATAATGTCTATAATATGGCACTATTACGGAGACACCTGAGAGTCTTTGACGTCTGGTCTCTCATTCTCTCTCTATCAAACTCCAAAGATAATGTGGATATAACTTCCCTCCATATATCTGACATCATTGGGTAAATCAATGTCAGCTGTGCGTCATTTGGTGTGTGTTTTGATAATGAACAGAGGTTTTATGAACAGAGCCTGCAGTGGGACAGGTAATTGGCAACAGGAAGATCCAGCAGATCTTGGGTCTGTGATGGCAACCGCAGCTTGTCTCAGTGAGTGACAGGCCTGCATTAGATTGAAAGAAACAAGATAGCACTGAGTGGTGATGTTATCTGTACAGGGAAAAACAAAAGAAGGCCTTTAGGTACATGGTGATCGAAGCAGATGCTGTGACTAACATCAAAGACGACGCTTCATAAATGGGATTCATGCAGATAGACAACGGAAAGTAGTATGGTAAAAAGATGACAGCAAATGGAAATGTTAGGAAAAACTAGTTTTAAAGCCTGGAAACATTATGGGAAAATGCACTCAAAAGTCAGTAAGTTATATTTTTATTTTGTATTGCTAATCTCTAAAATATGTAAGGATTTCCAAAGCAGTGGGATATTTGATACTCATCTTAAATATTGTTTAACACTCAATTTTCTGACACATTCTATGGGCTATATGCACACATAAGTTCCGCATTTGACGCAAGGATGCTCGTCCATTTCCGGTTGTGGAGATTTAAGCGGAGGAAAACCGAGGAAAACGGGATTATGGCAGAATCTTTAAAATTTACTGTCCTCCCGTCTTTCAAACGAAACGTACATAAGTTTAGATACAATTTTATATATAGTTATGTTTATTTAATATAATTTTAAAAAGAAGCATAAACACAACGAGGGGGTGTCTGTTTTATCTGTTTTTGTGACTAACGTTTCTTTAGTATAACCATGGAGTATAAAATTCAATGTAAATTCTCAGTATTGCATTGGGCTCTACGATCGGCGGAAGTTATCGAGCATCCTTACACCTTCACCGGAAATACCGCTGTGCATAGAGCCCATTAAGAGCCCATATAACCCCCTCAGACTTGAATTATTTTTCGAGTTTCTGAAAAATATAAAAGTACATTTCCCAGTTCATGAGGTTTCTATAAATGAAAACAAATGTAATTTTTATATATAATTGCTTTCATTGTGATTTTTTTTGTCCATTCCAATGGACATCAGGTCAAAACAGGTGTACTTCCCAAAAATGTACTTTACTTTAAGCTTTTTCTCAGGGTCAAAAATTCCAGCAGTATACCATTTCAACTATAATTTTGAGGTTTTTGTTTTACAGATTGCACATTGTTTGTAACAAACTAAATATATTCAAATCAATCAATCTGGTCATGTTAGAGTCATTTCCTGTGTGCATCCTGTGTTTTCTTTTTTACAGTTCTGGCAGGACGGTTGCCAGCAAGTCACTGTATTTCAATTTCCAGTAACTCTAGCTAGTCCATGGCCGAAAAAAGGTCCATTCCGTCCTCGGGCTGTAGGCAAACGGACGTGGGTTGGCGGACGCGGGGACCGGCCGAAAGCGCGAGGCGGGCGGGCACGCCCCGACCCTCCCGAGGCAGTTCCGCAAAGGCCCCCTCGGTGGAGCCACCCTCGAAACGTCCCGCGATCCCACTATTCGTCCGACTAACCACCACTTCCACAGGGCGACCGGCCCCTCGCCCACTGACCGGTCCCCGGACACGCCCCCGTCCCACGAACCCACTATTTGTCCAATAACCCACTATATTTGCCAAATGTCATGGGACCATCCCCCACCCAATCCCGGGCCATGCCCCTGTCCCACTGACCCACTATGTGTGTGTGTATATATATATATATATATATATGTATATATGTATATATGTATTTGTATTGAACCGATTCGGTTCGAGGCTTCCGGTTCGGTACGCATTGCAAACCGAACGATTGCTTGGACCATTTTTCCTGCCGGCAAAATTCGTGCTGACGCGGCCAACACAACGTTGCGCAACATCAAATGGCAAGCGTAATGAAAGCAGAACGAAACTACTCGTTATGTGCTTCATGGATCGTTTATCAGTTCGGACCAGCAACATCTGTGCAGCGCGAGCCGATCTCGATCAAGCAACACTGTTACCACACCGCGCTAAGAGATCCGGTAAAGAAAACATTTGAATTCGCCACTGAGGTAATAACATCGCTGCGAGATCTAGTGAGAAGCAATCACATTTCCCTGTTATTAACCGTAGATCTCTATTAGATCAAACAGCGCTGTCATGGAAACCAGGAGAAACATTGTGCCGTGAATGAACTGCTAATACTTTCGTCCACAGACCAGCAACATTCACCATGGATTTAATATAGTAACACTAACTGGAACCAGTTTGGCTGGAATGGTGAAATGCTTTCAAGTACTTCACACATCTTTTACCAGCACTTCAAAATTCAAATATTATATAAATAAATATATATTTAAATGTTATTTTTAACGTGATGACCAAAACATTATTTGTTCATCCTTCAAAGATGACCCCCATTTATAAACCTGAAAGTTTCAAGATCTAGGACTTATTTAAAAATAGTTTTTCTTTAAACAAATAGGAAATTTTTCTGGCATTTCTTTCTTTTTGCTGTATCGAAAATGTACCGAACCGTGACTTTAAAACCGAGGTAAGTACCGAACCGTGATTTTTGTGTACACCCCTAATATATATATATATATATATATATATATAAATATCCGTGTTTAGTCATGGGTCGTGTATGGCATTATTTTTTTTTAAATGGCATTAAAAAGGCATTAAATTTCATTTGGAGATACCTGCAGAAACCCTGATCAGGAACACCATCCCCTCGATAGTCTCCATTGTTCCTGTGTTGCGGGTTTGAAAATGTGGCGCTTTTAAGATGATGTCATGGCAGTAGAGGCGCGCGCAAATAACGATCCTCTAGACCCTTCCAGAGCTGAGATATCGAAACTCAAAATTTCGCCCCGAAAAAAAACCGAAAGGGGTACCACTGTCGTTTTTTTTTCCGGGTCGAATGTTTGAGTTTCTCTGAGCTTCTTGAAATTCTGGATTCTGATAGAGGGCTCTGAGACTTAGACCTGAGTGCAAAAATGGTGGCTCTAGACCAGGGGTGCCCAATCCTGCTCCTGGCGATCGACTGTCCTGCACAGTTCATCTCAAACCCTAATCAAACACACCTGAAGTAGCCAATTAAGGTCTTTAGGATCACATTCAGCTGTGTTTGATTAGGGTTGGAGATGAACTGTGCAGGACAGTCGATCGCCAGGAGCAGGATTGGGCACCCCTGCTCTAGACCCTTCCAGAGCTGAGATATCGAAACTCAAA